AAAAAGTGCTTAAGAGAAAGATCCAGCACAAAGAAAGTGTCTCTTGACAAGATTGCTACCACCATCTTAGGTAACAAAACCAAGGAAAATAATTCATTAACTAAGATCACATTTTTTCAAACTAATACACTCTATCAGGTTGAAGCATGCAAGGAGAGACCACAAGATTATCTGCACGGCAAGACTGTTTCACACTAATTAGCAAGACCATCTGCTGTATGCTTATGTTCCTATGCATCTGTAATTCTTGGGCCAGCCTACTGTGGTTTCTTCGTGAGATAACAGGTGAAAGAGGTAACCTCCACTGCTCCAAAGCTCAGAATACAATAACAAGGATCATTCATTAGCTTTCCAGATACAACTATTTTTCAGCTGTGAAGTCAATGAATTTGTTGTAGATGCAGAGACCTATATTTTACATCCATGGGTGGCCTTGCACTCCTTTGGGCTTTACACAGGTGCTACAGAGCCTGAGCACAGATTCCTGCCCCATCATAAGAAGCCCCAGGAGGAAAAAGAGCTGAACAACTGCCTTAAGTAATTGAGAGCCTCACAGAATTTGAATCTGTTCACCTACACAACTAATGTGAAGTAATTTGGAAGACTGCTATTGCTGTGTGTAGCTCAACCATGCATCTGAATAGTCTTCCTGACAGACAGGAGTGGCTGCAGAAAGAGACAAACATCATCACTGAAAGAGGTGAGTCCCAGCCATGAGAAAGACCAAGTGACATGACACAGACTAAGTGAAGACAGCATTTCAAAAGCAGTACTTGAAAATTCTTGAGACAAGAGGGAGACAAGGAACATACTTCTAGTGGAATTGCAGTTTATTCTCACAGCCCTAAAGATAGTATCTCTGATGGTGAGTTATTAACTAACTAGGGAGAAAACCGCCTGCAAAATATAATAATTACCACTGGACCATTAAAAAATCCGCAAAAAAAATCCAAACAAGCAAACTTAGAAAAAGTGAAAAGGTTTCCTAGTCATATTCCCCTATTTTGATATGACCGAAGGGGGGAACAAAGCTTCCTATGATGGTGCTGACCTTTTTACACAAGTAAGAAATTTGGAATCCTGCATTTTATGTAACTAATAGAGACTGGGTCATAAAGACAGAAGAGAGTCACCACCTCAGCAAAGTCCACAAATAGACCCGGGCTACAAAATCACCAGAATTTGCTGTGATCTAAATGGCACTCTGAAGGAAGTACATTTGTCCCTAATGCTGCCTTGAGATTTGTTTTTCCTACCTGATGAAGACACTTTCTAGCTTTGTCATATTCACTTCTCAAACAGTAAGCACTTCCAAGGTTAAATAACATCATTGTTCGTGCAGACGTGACCGAACTGGGGTAGCACTGTGGGGTCTGCTTGCCAGCTGCAATAAAAAAAATTTTTTTTCTTACACTTTTGTTCCAAACTGGCCAAGTAAATTCTTGTATTCTGCTGAATACAGTGGCTGGTACTTACAAGATTCCATTGCCTCATTCTCTCCTTTGTCAGACCCTGCAAAGAAAAAAAAAGAAACACCAAACCACAAAACCCATCATGTTCTGTGAGCTTTTTTAAAGCTTATTACAAAATAATACAAAGATACAAATTTGTTCCTCTCTTCACAGTCTAACACTAAAGAGGGAAAACATATCAATCTGCTCAAGAGTTTATGTCACTTAAGACTTCCTATCTTCAATGTTGCAGTTTTAGATTTGCAGATGAGTACAGTGAAGTTTAAACTGCAGACATGTCACTGAAATCAGAGCTGTTGTAGACTTCATTATACAGATGGACTCTGAAGTATTTTTCTCTTAAAGAATACACATCCATCAAGAAAGCTAAGATATAGATTAACTAAATTCTCCCCACTTCTATCTCTCACTAAAGTAGATTTCACTGGTACTCCAAAGCCTGGTTTTGAGACTAAAAGGCTGGAAGAGACAGTATGAAGCCCAAATGTAACCATAACTGCACATTTCTTGAAAGCAGCTTTCTGAAGTTCCCTTCAAACAAGCCAGAATGCTACAACATACAGTTCTATTTACATTACAGAATTAACCACCTCATAAGAACAGGGAAAAGACACACCAAACACAAAGTAGGAACTAAAGCCAGGAAACTGAAAACTCACCAACAAAACCACAACCAACTCCCCACCCCAAACAACCTATGGTCTTAAAACAAAGTGTCTTAATCATCATGATATTTGTGTCTAGAAAGTTACAGCAGTAAGGCAGTTGAAAGCATAACCAGTTGTAATGAAGTGTGGATGCATTAACCTTGATCCTGCTCATTTGAAGAGATCCCAAGGGAAACATCAGTGACATTCTCAGGATTCAAGTGAGTGATAGCATCAGATATTCTGTCTAGAGAGATGAGAGCTTCTGCTGCATACAGATGCCCGAGAAACCTACAACAGCAAAGGGTTAGGTACAAATATCAGCACAGCAATCCCCACAGATTGTTATGCAAGATAAAATGAATGCAGTTTTTAACATGAGCACATGGAAACTATTACTTGAAACACTTGCATGGAAGTTAACTTGCTTATAAAATATTGTTATAATACCCAGTTCTACTATTTACTGCTTTTAGGCACTAAAGCTGTTAAAAAAAAAAAAATCTGCACCTCAGTAAAGAGAATCCATGCACAGGAATTGCCATTCCACATAGAAAGTATCTTGGTATGAGTTTATCTCAGAGAATTAAAAAAAGCCACCCCAGAACACAGATATATCTATAATTTAAAGTGTTAAATGACTTCTGATTCAATTAAAAAAGCCTATTTTCCTGAGACCAAGACATATGGCTCTTTGTCTTTGCGAAAAAACTGTCATTTAGCATTTCTTGCATTACATAATGGTAACATAAAATTATGTGTTACCTTGCAAACTCCTCAAAAATCTTGCTTGTACAATGACTGTGCAAAAAGATGAGCTCCTGCAGTAGTCTGAAGCGCAGGAGCCAATGAATTTAATTGGCATGGACCATTTTAAAAGTATGCTGTCAGCATACAAAAATAAGCAAAAGTTACCTTGCCTTCTACAAGTACATAACCAGTTTTGAAAAATATTACTACCTTAAAACCCCTGCTATATTTTACCCTGTGTATGACATATGTATTAAATGGACAAACAAGGTCAGAAGGATGGGGCTAAAGCTGCCTTTTTTGAATTTGTAGAGCTGTATGACAGCTGGTGGGTAGAAACAGAATAAGCTTTGAATATCCTTCAAAAAATACAGTGTCAAATGAGAGCTGAAGAAGAGAAACAGAAGAATGGAACCTATATAAGCAACGGTAGCAGGTGAAGTGACAGTCCTGCACACACAAGATCTGGTACCCAAGTGACTGAGCAAATCTTCCCCTCCAAGGCTGTAGTTTCATAGTGATCTTTCAACAGCATGCTGGTTTGGGCTGGTTTGCCTACTCCCAGCTGCACGTTCCTGCCCCTTGTGCTGTGCCAACACAAGCACGTGCAATCCCACAGTGAATCACGACAGAGACCTGATGGTCCTGCTGTGGCATGGGACCCAGAGCTGGAAAAATAGCAACAAAAGCAGCAATAGATTCTGAATTACATGGAATTCATACACAAAGAAGGGGATTCATGTTGCTGTGTGTCAATGGACATTCAGTCAGGGCTTCAACAAGAACAGGAGCAGGCCAAGCAATTCTTTGCATCAGATACAGAATTGGCAAGCAACTACAGACATTTGAAGCTTCAACTCAGAACTCTCCAGCAAAAAGAAGGGCTGAGAAAGAAGGAATTACCCCATCAGACTTACTTAAGAGACCCTGACAGCTTTGGTTGCTGAAGAAGTTTATCTGCGTGATTCAATGCCATAAGGTTATCCCCCAAAGCCAAAGCCACGTAAGCACTACATGCAAGTATTGAGCACCTGGAGGGAAACAGACAAAAAAAAGAAAAAAAAAAGGGAAGGGGAGAAAGACAATATGTTAAATGAAGAATTCTGTGATTCCAAAAGCAGCTGTTAAATTTTCTTTCTTGTTAAGTACTGAAGAAATAAATCACAAACTTTCAATAATCACTTTAAGAGTTAGTGTTCATTACCTATGGGTTCAATTGTTCTACAGTGTAAACCAAGGATCACCATGGTGTGCTAAATAAGATTTTGCAGTTTTGATCATAAATATCAGATTTAAAAAAAGATGGGACTTCACCATGTGTCATTTTTCTCATGGACAGTTTCCCTTTCTTATGCTCTTATTATTGTTTTGCCTTGGACTCTCATTTGTACTTCCCTGCCCTCACCTTCTGCTGCAGCAAAGGGTAGCAGATTTTTAGATGTCTGTAAGGCACAACCTACAGACACAGTAGCAATCAGTTAAGCTGTAACATATTTCACTCTTCTATTGTATAGTGTCTTCACAGAGGGAGACACTAAACACTGGAGAATTTGGTGTTTCCAGTTTTGTGTTCAACTGAGACCTGTAGCCCGGTGCTAAGATTCTGATTGATCCATGACATTTGTTGCTGTCACAGACTTTTTTGTCTTTCCAAAACCACAAAAATCGCTGCCAGTTCCTGTAACGAAATCTGAACTACTCACATTTTCCACCTTCAAACAATAACCCAACGTCAGGATGCGATCATTAGGCCAAGCTTCACACTTTGTAATAACTCCCCTCCTCCCCAAACACAGCACTTGGGGATATTTTCCACTTGGTAAAACATCATTCAGTGCAGGCTGCCTTGTCCTCAGGGCACAAGCCTCTGTCCACAACACCCTGCTGTGAGCAGGACTCTGTTCTTCTCCAGGGAGAACAAGTGGATCCTCTGAGTGGGGTCTCACGTTGGGAGCGATGGGAGGAGAGCCTTCGCCTCTCCCGCTGGTAGGCAGGCTATTATTATGCCAACCTTCTGGCAACTGTCAAGCCCACTTTCGGTCCAGCAGTAAGTCATGTAATTCGTGGCAGGACCTGGGGTGTCTTTATTCCCCTTTCCCAGGAGGCATGCTCCTTAATTATGCACAAGCAGGATAAGAAACTTCTCCAGTGTTTCTCCCTACCCCCCACTTCCTCTCCACTGTGCCCAGATGTCACATCAAATCTGAACACATACAAAAGCTTGAGAGAGGGAGAGGAAAGCTTCCCCAGCTCAAGTCCCAAACCTAAAATATTTCTGAAAGGTTGTGACTGGGGAAGGGGGATGGAACTGGGAAACAAAATCTCTGTAATAACAGCCTGCTTCTAACTAGCCTCTTTTTGTCTCTGCCTCAAGGAAGCACAGTGCAAATCAGCAGAGATGCTGAGTGTCACCAGCAAAATACTCTTAGACAAGTCAGGCCCTGCAGAGTGGGTTGCTACTGCCCTTTACATCAATGTGTTTTATATTTCCCACAACTTTGTTAAAGCCTATTTTTATTTCTGAAAGTGTAAATTCAATCACAAGACATGCTCCAATCACACCATAGACAAGTCCAGCAAAACTGAAACCTACTCCTCTGCTCTAGGGACTCATCACTGTTAAAGCTACATAAGAGCTGGCAAAATTCTTCAGCAACAGCCATCTGAAGAGGGAAATATCCAGGTTTTCTTCCCTGCAGTAATGTTCCTGCACACTTGGATCCATTGTTGAGTTGGCTGAACCAAATGCTCAGGAGAGCTGACAGCTAACCGGAGCAGAAGAATTGCACCACAAGGGAAAAGACAAACTAGTTTTTCACCCCGGTCAGGATTCTGACAAAACTCCACAGGTCGCCTTTGAGCACGGCAGACTTCCAGCATCACCGAGCCTCCGCATGCCCTAAATAAAACTGCCTTTGCAGTAGGAAAAAGAAAAATGTTTTTTTAAACTGCCAGATTATGTCAAACAGCCTCTTGTGTAGGTCTCGGCAACAAGATTTGTCAGCCCACACAGACTGCAAGTTTATGGAACCTGAACTCCACATCTGACTTGCCTTAGTTCTCAGGAAAAGGGTGAGCCAGAGCCAATCTAGTTCTTCAAAACTTACCAAAAATGACACTTATAAACCATGTGAGAACATCACTAAACTGAAGTAATTTCAAATACCTAACTAAGCACAACAGTGGATACAAACTATCTACTTGTTATGTTTCAACACAAACAAACAATAGAAAATGCTAAGAAATACAGAATGTAGACTGTGATTAGTCACTGGGGAAATCCAGCACCAGCAAAGGGGAGATGGGGAAGAATTACAGTGTCTGAGTGAGGAAGAAAAGTGTGAAACAGCTACAGGTGAAGATCATTGTAAGCTTTCAGTATTGTGACAGGGCCAAACAGACCACTGCAACCTTTAAAGGGAGAAATAAGGTGAAACTGGGAAGGTATGGAGAAGAGATAATGCATACTGGTGGGCAGTGGTAGTTCTTACAAACTTACCTGTAAAGTTATTAGCAATGTCAGTGATGCTCTTGGAATACCATATACAATACCAGGTATATATGCTTGGAAAATATAAGTAAGCAAATGAAATAAATAAAGGATAATGATGGACTTGAAATGGCCAATGGAAGAGTCAAAGAGAAGAAAAAAAGGGTCAAATTGGATCACATGCCTTATAGCAAGGGCTTACAGATCAAATCTATTCAAGACAAAGTGGGTGATCAAATGATTCCTTTATTTCCAGCTGCTTTGAAGGGTAAATTTAACGTTCTCACACAAAGACCTTCAATATAGGGAGAAAAAGATTACAAGAAGTCTGTTGCTATCCACCTTAACTTTTATAATAAAATCCAAAAAATTTTCCAAATGTAGCACTGTGGTCTACCACAACTCCTTTACTCTCAAAGTACCCTAACAGTGTTGGGTTGTTCTGGTGTGCTGAAACATACACAGGCTGAGAGCAGAACAGGGAGCTGGCTTCTTGGAGGATGAGAAGCAGCAAGGAGAAGAATTGTTTAGAAGAAACTCAGAAGAAAAATCTGGAGTTTCTACTTTGAATGCATAAATTCTTAGCAATGTTTGGTGTACTCAGACTTCTGCTTGTTACTTTTAAAACCCTGCAACTGAATTACTGCTTATTATGAGAACAGTCCACTCAACGAATTCAGGCACAAGTACCAGACAACACATATGACATGTAAACTTTTTCTAGATGATATTTTTAATTTTTTAAGAACTGTTCAGGGGTAAAGTTAACTCAGTCATTTTGAACTCTTACCAGGATGCACAACTTCACAAAATCATGAAAAAAGGGCACTTAAGTTGCCTGTTTCAGTTCTAGAAGCAATAGAGGTTTTTCAGTCCAGTGACTTAAGAGGGAAAAACTGAATTCAACAGACACTTATATTCCTTAGGATAATCCTTGACAATATCCAGAATTTTTTTCTTAATTTTCCCTGACTCAACAAGAATTTAAATTTTCTCACTTAGCTCCTTAGTGAGCAAGACTACGGGAACACTCTAACTATATACAATATATACATACAAGTCTACTATTTGAGTGTAACATATTTTGCTTTTCACAACTATCTTCAGAAATTTAGAAACAGTTTCAGCAGAATCACTTTCTAGGGATGTCAAGTCCTCAAAATTAAACCAAAAGCAAGTAGCGCAAAAAAATAAAATCAATGCTTTTCCTTTCCTTATATGATGTTCTTACATCAAGAAGTGTACTTCTTGCTAAACTGATAGGTTTTTTCTGATATGTTGTCAGACTTCATCAGTAGAAAACAAAAGCTGATTGTGAAAGAAAAGACTACGTATTAAAAAAAAAATAATCACAAAGTGACACCACGTAATTTTGACACATGGCAGCCACACTTTCAACAGTCAGGAGGAGAAAAAAAACCAAAACCAAAAAACCCACAAAACCCACAACCAACCTACATCACTGTTTTTTTAATCTAGCGCTTTCTATTTCGGGTAGCACACTTGCACCACTTCAGAGTAAATAATCAAGGTCTCAGTAGCATCTCCTCACAGATTCCTTCTAAGGTGCTTTTAAGTGAACACAAGTAGATTTGCTACACATAGGGAGCAAAGTAAAGGTTAAGCTGGTCATTATGAAATACAAGTTACCTGGAGCTAGGCTGGAACAGAGTGTTTACTCAAGAGTTCAACTGGGAAATTACTGTATGAAAACCACTATATAGAAACTTAAAACAAATTTCTTTTTTTCTTAACAGGTGCAAGCTTTATCCTAAGAGATTTTCAATGGGCTGGCAGCCACCTGGAATAATTAACACTGCCAGCAAATTATAATCTTGCTGTGGACAAGTAAAGAGGTTCCAGATAATGTCATGCTTATTTAGACACATGCACGTTACTCTGTTTGAAGAACACTATGACTGCTGAAAAAGTAGTTTGAGGATCTTTGAGAACACGAAAAAATCTACAGTCAAATTTTACCAATGTTGTTCCATGGTAAGAAAGTCAAATGTTGGGATAGAGGCATTTTTGTTTTCTATTTTATGCAAACTGCTGAAAGGAACACCATTCTCATTGGTTAAAGTAGCTATGCCACTTTCCACTTTCGTTTTTTTTCCCATCCAACAAGCATATAATGTGGGGAATGAATTCCAAACTAGCCTTATCATAGCTTCAAAGGGAAAAGGTACCATACAATACTTTCCATCCCCTTCCACCGATGACAACAGCCATTGTCAGGGTTTTAGTTTTGTTGTTTATGCAACTTGATATTAGTTTTGCCCAATATATAGCACCAAACTTCCAATAGTGGGATCAAACAGATTTATCTACCTCCTAAATTGAAATTCTGGATGGCTCCTACTTGTTTAGACTCAAAGCCCAGAAGAAAGGAAGCACACACATTTGAAAAGAGATTACGCTAACAGCTACAATTCAACGTGTCAAGTGCCTACAAAAAAAGCTGGGAATCACAGTTTAGGAGGAGCCTCATTTAGTGGTGAATATTATTTACTTGCCTTAAATTCTCTAATTCCTGTTTCTTCAAAGGCGAAGAAGGAGGAGCTGCAATGAATTTATCCCCTTCATGACTTTTATTGCTAGAATAAAAACAGTGTATTAATGATAAGGAATGACTTATTATAGTAATTAATTAAAAAATTCTCAATGTAAAAAGCATTGGTATTTATTCACTCCATTTAAAAGGACACAAATTCTGCAGCCTAAAATACAGAGAATTGAGGCAATGCAGAGACTGAGGTATGTGCTCTTATTCTAACCACTCTATTTGAGAAGGAAGAAGTGGGACATTTGCTAGAAAGAATTTGACTGACAGACCAAACAACCCACACCATTCTCCACAGCCTTGAGCTATTTTTGAAGTTCAGTGTAGGATAAGCATTTTTAACTGGAGGGACACAGAATTTGCTGCATTTGTAGCCTCTTTTCTTTCAGACTGGAAGAAAAGCAGTAAACTAGTTCTCTCTCTAGACATCTAAAAACTAGTTACATAAATATTCTAGAGAGATAACCCACAAAGTGCTACATCTTTAGACTTCTAGCTCCCTTTATTTTTATTTCAAAATGTCTTTTTTAAAAAATAAAATTCCAATTTCTTAAAATTATGCTTGGCTTTTTTGGGGGAGCACATATTCATTCTATTTTAAGGGTATGAAACTTCACTTTCCAATAAGCTGAAAGAACCTCCTGGAATGAGAATTGAAGAGATGGATAATAGCTGTACCTTGGCAGAGAGAGACACTAAGGTTTGGAAACTGATTTAAAAAAAATTCAGAACTGAAACTGAGTCTATCCACTTAATGAGAACTTTTTCATTGATGAGTTTTATATCTATCTATTGCAAACAGGTAAGATAATGCCAACTCAGACATTCAAACCAGACAGCAAAAAAACTCCAAGGAAATCTATACTCAGTACTGCTGTAGAGTATATACTTAATGCCTTTGCCAAAAATTAGATTAACCACTAAAAGTATTCACTGTTTTCTTGTGAATAAGAAAAGAATTTGCCTTAAGAGTTGGCCTGCTCAATTAGTGGGATTTGCTTCAAAACCATCCTGTTCAATTAGTGTGATTTTCTTCAAATGCCTTATATGTTTTACTGTTCTCTCACAGAGATTCCCTTGTCAGAAGAAACAAATCCTTAGAGAACCTTTCAGAATGTGACACACAAATTCAAGAACAGCCTCCTTTGTTGTGGATATTTTGCAATTGGCAGTGACCCCTGGGAGATATGAGGGAGTCCTTTCTTTAACTTTTTTTCAGTTGAAGAAGCATCTGGTTTTGAAAACAGAAGGTAGTAAAGGATCTTCCCATACAAGACATGTTTTCCTTTTTTCACTCCTACAAAAATAAACAAAAACCACCCCAACAAAAAACAAAAAAGGAGGTTTGTCTGAATGAGGGTCACCATTTTGTTTTCATCACTGCTCCTTAGTGAGCCCCATAAGCTTAAAACTGAAGTCACAGTTAAACAAGAGAAGTTTCATCTCAATAGGCTGCATACATACTTGCCAGGGGAAGTTAGTTCACAACCTCCAACCTCAGCAAGGAAAAAATAAAAAATTAAAAACACCACAAAAAGACCCCCAAACCCACCCACCCAACCAACCAAAGAAAAACCACCAAAAAATATTAAAAAACCAAAAAACCCAAAACCAACCAACCAAAAAAAAAATCCACAAAAACCCAAACAAAAAAAAAAAATCCACAAAAACCCAAACCAAAAAAAAAAAAAATCCACAAAAACTCAAACCAAACAAAAACCAAAACTCCCTACAACAACAACAAACCACAATCCCACCCAGACTTTCATAAATCATTGGTCACTTTAAAAAGATAAACTGTAACTGGGAAAATAAAGGGTTACAGAGAATAGCTTTCAAATACTGTTGTAGCAGTAACAGCCACTGACCCCCAGCCGTACTCTATGTCCAGGCAACTTCTGAATATATAAGGATGTGCTTTGTGCCTATGCAATACAGCATGTGTGCAGTAAATCCTGCCATGTGACAAATGGATTTTAACTTCTTAAAATTGATCTGTACTTGGGTCTGACAAAAACATTTTGTTTTTTCATTACTCTCTAAGTAGTTCAAGTTCTAACACACTTTCCAGATTAATTATTGTAGCACTTTCCCTTTCAAAATAGTCTGTAATGAAAGTGCAGACTATGCTCAAAGTTACTCTTCAAAAGGAAATCCAGAACGCATCAGGACTCATGCAAAAAATTAAGACATTTGCCTTTGACATACACTGTCTACAAGTCATATCTTCTGAAACTAAGGACAAAAAAAGGTTTTTCTTAAACTCTTTTTTTGTAAAATACGATTTATTAAACAATAGCTCCATGCTGCTTTCCTTCTTACCTTCTAAATCTCATTTCCCATTTTTAGTCTAAAACAAACACAACAAAGCATACTAGGGCTGATGAATGTCAAATCTGATCATGGGGAAATGTTTACAACTGAGCTGCTAGTCATTTATATATATATATTGAATCAAGTACATGGTGCACGTGCACACGCACACTAAATCACTGTAACATGTGAAACTTCACTTACAATTAGAGAAATACCAATATGCACAGCGGGAGGGTGTGGGAAAACATAACATTTGCAGCACAGAAAAAAAGATGGTCAGTGAAAAAAATAATTTCACTGTCTAATTTAATAAAGTTGTTAGGAATAGCTGGAATCAACTCAATATTTTATTCTTAAACTACCATACCAGCAATTGAACAATGAGCAGCTAAACAATTTCCTTAGAGAGGCCAACACTGCTAAGACAATTTACAAATATGTTATTTTTTTCTGCTAGCCAAACAGGATAAGTAGCAGACACAGACTGTCAGCCCAGAGTTACTCTGGACAAAAAAAAAAAAAAGGTTTATATCCAATTCGGTTTACCTGCATGCTTCACTGCTTTCACTGTTTTCTGCATTTCCCCCCAGTTGACTAGTAGTTTTAGATCCATTTTCCTGCTTTGGCTCCTGTTGATCTTCTGGCAGTAGCAGTAAGGCATTTCTTAGACAAATTGCTGCAAACTCCATACTGGCTACAGGTATTGCTGAGGACTGCCCATCACTTAAAGAGACACAGAAGTTTTAACCAGTAAGTAGCAATCCTACTAAATTAAAAGATAAAAGCAAAGCTCTGGAAATACCTGAATGCAGAGAAAACTTTATCCTAAAAATGTTAAATAATGTTTCAATATAACAAATTTAACTTATGAGGATGTACGTATCCTGTTATTTTTACATATTGAAAGCACAACACGATGCCCAAAGAGATTCAACCACGTAATTCTAAGAAGTTCTCTTGTTTTCCTTGATTTCACTTCCCGAAGTTTTATGGCAGAACAACTAGATTCTTCCTGCACTTTTGTAAAGTGGATTACTAAAAATAAAGATTTAAGTGAGAAAAAGAGGCCAGATTTAGTAAGCAGGAAACATAAATTTCAAATAACCAATTTCAAGCTTTAATGCTCCTCTTAGTTACAAGGAACACACAGTTAAGCCCTCTGCTGGCCATCACAGAGGAGGCACAAAATGATGTTTAAGTAGGGATTCACAATGCATTTTAGCACGCCTCTCTTCACTACATGAATGAACAGTTATTCTACAACACTTTTAAAACCTCTGATAAACAGATACATATCAAAGCTATAACAACAAAATAAATAACCCATGGAAAACATACTTACTTATAAACAACATTCTGTATGGACTGGGATGCTAGGACTATCTTACGGTGGTAGCCTTGACCCACTATAGATTGCACAATACCCTTTTTGCTGGGAAGACCTTTAGTCTCTTGCTCTGATGTCTAAAAGGAAAAAGGAAAATGAACTAAAATATCAAGGCTGTTGAATGAGAGGTTGACAAATAAGTGAAAGCTAGAAGACCTTGAACGCTGCTAAAATGTAAGAATTAATAATGGGTACAGTTTTAAATCTTAAGTACAATGAAAGATCAAGCACCTTCTATTGTCTTTGTGTTGCAGAGGGGTTTTACTGCACACAGTGTAAGCACAGATTAGTTCTGACAGCTTGTCTGATAGCCTACTGACCTAGTTTCTCCTCTGTTTTGAAAGCACAAAAACAATGAACCAAGTCATATTAAAAGAACTGACAGGATATCTAAAAAGAAATAATATGATCTGCCAAATAATATTCAGAATTGACACTGCAACGCTTGCCATCTTCTCTCCCTGCTTACACAGCATTGAAAACACTCTGCAAAAAAGCTGGTCTCAAACAGTTCCATGAGGAGCAAGAAGCTGAACAACAACACATGCAAAGATACATTAAATTAACTGGTTTAACAGATTTATGAGTATGTAGACATTCTGGGGGTCAAATGAACTTAAAAGACTCTAATTGTCAGTCCCAAGAATTATCTCTACACCATATTTACTGGGGTTTGTTTGGTTGCTTTAGGATGAGCCATCTTAACTTCACTGGTAAGCAGAATCAGTGATGAAGAGTCACAATTGTAAGGAAAAACTTATGCTAAATCTGCAATTTAAACAGCTATCACTTTTCAGAAAATTTATCAGAATCTATTGTGAAAAAGAATATTGAAACAATGGCATTTGATGTCAAATAAAAATACAGTGAGTTTGGATACAAAGTGCATATTTTAAAAAAGGTGTTTAAAATGCAGGCATTTAAGAGGGAATATTCTTCCATCTATATTTTATAAACGGAAATATTAAAATGGGTGAAAACTAGCTTCAGTGAAATTACTTTTCTACATGGTATTCAGAGCATAAATATGAATCCACACATATATAAAGGAATATTATTGCAAGAAATATTATTGCAAATTGAGTTACAAGGTCAAATTAAGCACAGTATTGACTTTAGAGATTCACTTGTCATGTTACAAATCTAATTTATAATTTAAAGACACTTCCTCATTGCCTATAATATTAACAGCATCCAAAGTTAATTTTTTTCTTCTGAGATCATGCATTTAGGAAACAACCAGTTGGTTTTGTGACATGAATTCAAGGCTCTCTGGTACACCACACAAGATCGTGACCATAGCAGGAAGAAAGCCTCAGGAGCCTGGCATAATCAACTGCTTTGGCTACTCTGCAGTAAACAGAGAAGTGCTCCATAATGATCTGTATTTCCCTTTTCCAGACTGCTAAACACTATCCTTGTGAAAGGAATCCTAGCATTGTTTTTTTTTTGCCACAAAACCTAAGCTAATCCACTCTTTCATACTCAGCTTTTCACTAGAGGTGATCACATGTGTCTTCTTTATCTATGTGTGACCTGTAGCCAGTAGGACAGATGCAGAAAACTGCAAAATGAGCATGAAGAAAGCTGTTCTTCCTGCATTCTGTGCTTTATAAAACTTGAGCAATCTGACTACAGCTAGCACATATACAATCAAAGTTAGCCCATTTTTGACCCCACACTCTTGAAACTTCAGTGCCGTGCCTGTGAAATGGGGGTATAAGCAAATCTCTATCAAGCTATAAAGTTATATCTTTCCTAAATTTTCTGAAATAGAGATACCAAAATAATGACTACCTTTGAAATTCCCAAGGGAAGAGTTACAAATTTTGTATTTGGAAGCATTGTGCATTTATTTACAGCACATTGTCAAAGAGACCACCCAGAGAAAGAAAACAGAATGCAGGGGGTGGGAGGAAAATAGAGTGATATAGGTATTTGTTCAATTTAGGTATTTGTTCAATTAATCCCACACATCCTGTGCAGTGAGTGAAATGGGCACACTGTGGAAATAACTGCATAGGATCATGCACTCACAGATTACAGCCTCACTCCCCTACACATAAGGGGTGAATTACAGTTTCACAGGGAATCAATTTCACAGATATATTATTTTAGTGCAGTTTTCTCTTCTAAGAGCAAACAATCCTGTCCCCACTTCTCTGAATTTTAACATATGGGTTTATCCTAAATAGACTTGAAACCAAGATGCCCCAGAGGACATGCAATACGCTGCCATCAGCAGGTTTCCACCAACTTTGCCTGCAGAAGAAGGTGAAGTCTCAGCAGTTAAGACATTCAGTTCCCCATCAGCTGTGATCACAAGAGCTTCAGGATGGAGAAGGCTGATCACCGTTCCCTAAGACTATGCCACTCTAGTGGCAAATGAGTGAGGAAACGTTGAAACTTTAGATGAGCTTTGGCTGCATGAAGAGAAGACTACATGCAAAGATTTCCCTCCACCTGTTGCAGCTTCAGATTAAACATGCAAAACGCATATACACAAAAAATAATAAATCTGGACTTACACAGAGGTGTTGCAATATTAGGCCTTTAAAATGCATAGCTTAACTCTAGGTATCAATTCTACCCATGACCACATGCCATTTTTTTAAAAGAAGTTTGCAAAGCTACTTACCCCTTTATTGGCAGCAATGCAGCATTCTGCTATTCTCAGCCACAGACGAGGGTTTGAGTGATATACCTGGACTGCCTCAATCAGGCACTCAAAGGCAGCTAAGGGCCTCCCAATATGCAAGAGTTGAATTCCGCAATTATAGAGCAACTCATACCGTTTGTTAGTCAGGAGTGTACACATGGGTCTCCCCGAAAATTTTTTACCTGCAGAAAAGGATTACATCATATTGGATGTGCAACTCAGCAGAGCAGAAAATATAACTCCAAGAGGAAGAGGGAAACTGTGGGAAACACCCCAAAATTACCAAAAACCCCTTTCATTGCAGAAATTCACCAGGCTCCCTCTGCAAACACATTTCTTTCACATCAAAACTGGTGTCAAAGATAAATTAATTGTATCCTTAATAAAGACTGAATTACATTCAATGCTAACCACGAATGTTCCTTGTCACTCAAGATAAATATTACACAATAATACTGAATCCCAGATATGTGAGAATACACATCTTTGTTATTCATAGAAATTCCAGAAGAAAACCACTTTGCTGCTAACAAGCATGAAATGTTTTCTGTCTTCACACTGATACCTAAGGCTGCACTTAGGTCCAGGGGAGGAACAAGAAAAACAGTGAAATGCATGATAGTAAGCAGATTTTAAAGAAAACAAGAAATGAAAAAAGTTATAACTTGATCATGAAATGATGAAGACTGAGTGATGAGGCCCTCTATAGTCAGATGGGAGCGGCCTCACATTCACACGCCCTGGTTCTGCTATCTGTTGAAAGAACAACACAGCCGGGTATGAACTGGGGAACCGTGAAGACGATCAGAGGGCTGGAGCACCTCTCCTATGAGACAGGATGAGAGAGCTGGGGTTGTTCAGCCTGGGGAAAAGAAGGCTGAACAAGGGAAGAGCCTTCAGTACCTAAAAGGGGCTTCAAGAAAGCTTGAGAGGGGCTTCTTACAATGACATGGAGTGATAGGACAAGGGGGAATGCCTTTAAACTGACAAGAGGGTAGGTTTAGATTAGATATTAAGAAGAAATTCTTTACTGTGAGAGTGGTGAAACACTGTAACAGGTTGCTCAGAGAAGCTGTGGACGTCTCATCTTTGGAAGTGCTCAAGGCCAGGTTGGATGGAGTTCTGAGCAACCTGGTCTAGTGGAAGGTATCCCTTCCCATGGCAGGGAGGTTGGAACTACATGTTCTTTAAGAAACCTTTCAACCCAAACCATTTTATGATTTTATGAAATCATTTACTTGGAAAAAAACCCCCAAACTTAAGTATTATTAATCAAAGCAAGAAAACTTATTATGTTTATTTTCTTGCTTTTGTATCCTTACAACGAAAGTTGATGGATAAAAGCACCCATAAAACTAAACAATAGATAAACGTCTCATACAAGTAGGAAACTGTTCAGTAGGAAAGTTTGAGAAATACATCATCTTCCAAATGCTAATTTAACAGTATTATACTCCACATTTTCTATATCCTCCATGGTAAAAAAACCCCAAACAACAAAACACAACAAAACCCCACTCATCCTTCATGCCCTGATGATTCTACCCAGTCAGTAGTACTACAAATAACCTATACAAAATATGTCACAAAAACTTTATTTTGTAATTCCTCCCTAACTTATTGTCAAAGTCTACAAATGAGGGACGTAGTTGTCCCAGCCCCTCCAAGGTACATCAAGGAAAACAGGAAAAAACAAAAGAACATATTTCATTATCATCATCATCATGTATTTCTGGAAATTGCAACTATATTCTGAAATCAAGTTATCATCAAAATTCTCACCCTACCGTCTTCCACAAAGAGATGGAACACAAATTTTGCTGATAACTACTGAAACCTTCTACCCTCTATTTTCTTGATTCACCCACCCCTCTTCCACCACTTATTATAATCTCTTCCTTACCTGGATCTGAGCTGCCTGTTCCCAGCTGTGCACACGCATTATCATTTTCTTGCAAAGCTTTTTTAAAGTAAAAAATTCCTAAATTGTGCTTTCCCATTGCAAAGTGGATGCAGCCAAGATTGTTCCAGAACATACACCTTAGGCATTCACCTGGGAGAACAAGCAAAGACCATTTCCAGAAACTGAAAATTGTTGCTGAGCCCATGAAATGCTCCAACCACTCTCTCATGGGTCAGCATATTATGGCAGTCTATTAAACATATTCTTCAGTGAGATGCTCATGGATTAAGGAATTATGTCCTAGTGTCACATCAGCTTTAATAACATACATTTCTGCACACCATCTAGTTCTCTTGGAGAGTTGACCTCTATGTAGGCAGTCACAGACTTCCAGATCTTGTGCACCATATTCTAGGAGAGCCAGATATAAAGCCAGTTTGACAGACTGCAAGTTGAAGTGAATTCATCTGGAGGTTTCCATAGAAATTAGCAAGGAAGCACCTCAACTTTTCTAACAGATGACTCTTGTAAAAGCAAAATTCTCAACTAAAGTTACCTGCCTAAGTTTTATAAAACAAACAAATAAGCCAACCCAACCACACAAGCAGGAAATACACTCTTTCTAAATATATCACGTTCAGGTAACACTGTAAAAGGTTCCTTCTAAATAATAAAGGACAAAAATTTAAACTTTAAACTTATTTGCTGGTAACAACCTTTGAAGGGTTACCATTCATAATGAAGAAATAAAGAAAAAAACTCACCCTAAAAATCCAAATAACCAAGAAACAAATCATGAACAAATTCAACAAATGTTATTTTAGCCAAAACATAGGAAGACTATTAAGTGAACATTCTACTGTGTAAATAGGCATTATGGCAAATTTTTTGAATGTTTTCTATGAAACTTATCTGTAAAATACAGAAGTTTAAACAATTTACTGAGAGGGTCAACTCAAACTTCTATCATCTAACAGTAACTTATGCAGCAATACCTACTAGGTAAAAAAAAGTCCTACAGGACAAGAAATTAGTAGTACTATCACAAAAACAGCATTGAACAAAGTAGCAAAGAAATTCAGTTAGTTTTACAGCACAAGCACTTTTTTAAATCCTAGCTCTTTACTGACCCAAGACAGTTTTCTCTCTGTATTTTTCAACTGAAGTTTTAAACTGTCAATTAAATCTCAAATAAATTTAAGTACTGTATACAGTGAGTGTATATATACAGAGGATATACTTATAGTATACAAATAACTTTGATGTCCAAAAAGTTACACGTTTACATGTTGTTCTGTTTCTGAGCATGTCCACATATACTTTCTAGAGATAAAAGTAATTTAAAATCACATAAAATAGAAGCCAAACCTTAACACTCCATGAAACATTTCCCCCACAATCATCATTACAACTGCTACAGTCTCCTCTCCAAGTACAATCTGAGATCTCAATTCTAGATCTAGTAAGTTGCCTTTTGTTTCATTTCTTGATTTAGAGACTCAGTTATGAGCCTTGCAAATATTACACCTTCACAAATCCATTTTCATAGACAATCACAGCATTGTCTACAAGAACATTCAGTGAAAAACACCACAGTGTTAAAAACATATCCAGCATATAAACTCATGACATTCAGGGCCTTCTCAATTAAGTAATCTATTAATGATTGAATTCAATATCAACAAGTAGTCCTATTATACTACACATTTAAGTACTTGCAGGATAAAGGGTTTCTATTTTACCTGTTTTCATGAAGCCTGGATGTTCAGCAATGTTTGCACTGTTTAAAAGTTTGACAGCTTTACGATAATTGCCTCTCAAATATTCAAAATTGCTCTTAAGAAAAAGAGAAGGAGCTGACTGTGAAGGAGAAAACAACAGTTAGTCCTCTTTTGGTTTATGGTTTCTACTGCTAGTGTTAAATCACTTCACAAACAGCTTGCCTCTGCTGCCATTTTAAAAATAAATGGGCTTAGGCCCAATTACTTTCAAGAAGTAGCATTTCTTTGTTGAACACATGATTAACAGTCACCTCTGAATCACCAAACTATGTATTACTCTTTATGACTGCTCTCAAACCCAGTGTTGTTCTACAGAACTCTGTTATGGCAATGGCTAAGTGCAGAGGATCTCCAGACTTTCTTCCACCTGTATTCCTCCCCACACTTCCCTCCCTGCAATTACTCCTGGACTGTAATCTTCCTGGTCTGCCAACAGAGACCTCATGATCCAGAAGGATTTCTGTTAAACTAGCAGTTGTTGAAACTGGGAACAAAAAGGAAGTGTTTTCTGTGTATGCCAGAATTAATCTTCTATGAACTGGTTTAAATCACCGATGACATCAAAGTTTGTAATAACCATAACATCTGTAGTAAACTAAAACCTGTTTTGTGCTGTTTCAGTTAAAAAGCAAGCTGAACCTGTTCATTATACACTATTTCACTGTTATTTTTGTATCGCAAACAACACAGGATATTTTTTAGCAATTGAAAACAGCTCAAATAAGAAAATTCTACATTAATTACACTTGTAAAAAGAGATTACAAACCAAACTCACTACATAAAGCATTGCTTCAGACATCTACCCTCAATAAGACTTTTTTTTGGTAAAGAACATTAGCAAATTCAGTTTTAAGATAGAGAACAGATCTAGATGTGAAAAACGATAGTCTTAAGAATACTTACATTCCCAGCTGTATTCATAACAGACTTGATTTCCCTTTTGCATGCTTTTAGTGACTTCATTTGGATATAGGCTCTCACCTTATACTATTAAAAAATGAAATTTGTTAAATAATATATAATAACTTGTGCAGTTTGCAAGATGACCTGTATCTAGGGATTTACTATGGAATATTTCATATACAATTTTGGGTAGTAAAAAGCTGTTTAAAAAGTCTTCATAAAAAAAATTCTATTCAGACTTTAAACAACACATTTATAGGCCTTGTATTTACAATAAGCAGATGAACATTTTGTTCACTGCTCAACGGCTACTCTATATTCAAACACAGATACCAGCACTTAAAATGACAAACTAATTAAAATAATCTAACCTCTTAAACCCCAGACATTTATCTACTAAACTGAAAGTACCAGTAAGTGAATGCTGATAGAGAAGCATTCTGTTCCTTCAGATGTTTTCCAACGGGACAGTACAATGAAATAAAATGTCAGCTGATTTAGACTGTTGGAGGTCTAACAGATACAAAATCAGTGCAGCCAACCACAGTTTAAAGAAATTTTCATAAACTGCAGGGACTGAAATGGGGGAAGGGGTTGTGTGTTAGGCCAGTTTTTCCTGTACATGGATCTTACAAAACGGAAGAATTAGATAAATTCATTCCTTTGTTTTACAACAAGGATAGACAGGGTATCACAATTCATGCTGAACTAGATCTGGAAATGGGACTTCACGTTAAAAAAAAAAACCCTTGAAGTAATGTTCTTGTATAAATAATATACAGACACTAACCTGATGTATCTTAGACTTAGCAACTTCTATCAAAGCTCCACTTTCAGCTTTTTGATTCGAAGAATCTTTATTTGTATTATTACCTGACTGTCAAACAAAAAAATGGAACTGTTACTGTTAGTCACCTTTTAATTTCAGTTGACAGATTCAACTCACACAAAGAAAAATATGTATTTAATAGTATTTCACAGTACTTAACGTCAAAATATACACACACCACCAAAAATTGTAACTTGAGCTTAACAATCAAAATCCACAAACAACCACACCAGTCTATGAAGAGTAGAATTCTATATTAACATTAGTGTTACATTACATTGCTCGGCAGCTGAGAAGAACTCTTTTACCCAGAAGAATGATTTGCACATTCTAGAGTACCTCTCTAATATTTCCTTTAGTAGAATTACTATATACTTAAAATATTTTATCTTAAGTGTGACATTCCATCAACAGGAAAAGACTGAAGTGTCCCTTTTTCACTTCCAAGTCACTACTGAGTCTACTGATTTTTCCAAAAGACACATAAAAGATTTCACTTGAAAGTATGCCTCACACTTTCAGATACTGTGCAAGAGAGATACTTGATTTCCCATCCCATGCTACATAGTTGCAATGCCTCTCTGACATGATCCCTTCCCTCTAAAATTTAGGGTCTCATATGGTCATAATCCAAGACAAACAAGGAAAACCATGTATATTTGACCCTGAAGACAGCTGTCTTTCCAATGCCTGTCTCTGACTCAAAGACATCTTAGCTCCCTCAGTGTAAGAGAAAAGGGTGAAAGAGAAGGAATAAACAACTGCTGTACATAATTAACTCAGTTATCAACAGGTCTCAGTTGGTGTCTAAAGCTACAGATGATCTACCAGTTTTAAAATTCAAAAGTATTTTAAAAGACTAAATTTGGACTGAGTTAAAGCATACTTCTGATAAAGTTTTAGTGGCATTCATATGATTTTAAGCTTACCTCATTTTTTCCATTCTTGCTGTTATTGTTGCCCTGTGAAATCATTTTTTCCAGAACAGCAAGCAGATGCAAGGCTTTCTCAGCTTGGTAAGTTAACAGGTATAAGTCTACAAGCAAGAAGCACACAGCCTGGGCAAACTTCTCTTCTGTATAAAGCAAAGAAGTAAAAATGATTTTACAGCTCTAATATTAATCCTTCCAAACATGACTAAGAAAAAAAAAAATTACCACAAAGTGCATTTATGCAACATTATGAGAAAAATCAATATATTACATAAGAAAAAAAAATGCAGCCATCTAAATAAATATATATAGTGAAACACACAGATAGGTACATATACTGAAAACAAAGCTCATTCATTCAAATGGCATCAGCATAGAAGCACAGACTAAAGACAGCTTAACAAGTATTTCATGTTCACAGATTCTGAGAATTGATCTAGGCAGATCACCACCAAAGATGCAGCATCTAAATAGAGAGAGTCACATGAAAATGCAGAATCCCACAGAATTTGAAAAGATTCTGTACAAATATATCTGACTTCAACAGAGTAAGTCCCAATTATGCATGCTGAAAACTGTGAGGAACTGAAGGAGAAACACAGTAGCATTTACTTAATTTATTGATACACGCACACATTCTTCAGCCTTCTCAATTCTAAAATTCAACAGGGATTATGAAGTTATTTCATACAAGTATGGCAATTCCACTACACAAAGTGTCATAGCTCATAAAAGCTGCAGACTTTATATATATTCACATATGAGCACATAATTATGTATGACCTAGTGCAGGTATTTAAAAATGTGAGTCCCTTGAAAAATAGACATCAACCCACAATGACTCAAAATACCAGATTTAAAATAATTTCACTAGTTTGTACATATCATTTACATAAATACCTTTTCAAGTTGCAAAAAATCCATTTCAGTTTCCTTATACTTGTCTGCTAAATGTCTCTGAAGTACCTTCCCCCTAAATTTGGTTGTAGTCCTTGATATAAGTAAAACATTCTTCATTCCAAACCCTATCTACTTTTTTAAAAGCATATTAGGCAAATAAAAAAAAAATACACTTGTCTGACAGTGAGAAAGACTGAATCATCTTTCTGTAGTTATTGTGTGAACAAAGATCTTCTTTCTGTCTACATACCAAAAGGCTCTATAAACTGGTACAGCTTCTCCCCAACTGATATAGCTTCAGTATACTGACGCAGATGATACAGAATAACAGCTTGATTGTAGTACAGCATACTGTTTTCAACATCATCCAAACCATCCATTTCTTCAACAACAGAGTGAACCTGAAAAAAACCCATTCATTTCACCATAAACTTTCAGTACCTATGATTTTAAATCCAAAACTACGAATTTCTTTAAAGATACGTAAGAGTTATAATCTAATAAACTTTATTGTTGTTGCACATAAACCCAGTAAAAAAATATACAATCAAATAGAAAGCTGTCAACTGAGTAGTAAAATAATATTTTCACTTTTTTATTATTTCACAAACTATTCCAGGCTAAGGAACTTTCTATTGAAAGAACACAGCAGGTCTTTCTACTGTTATAACCTCATATCAATTGCAACAATAACTAAAAACATAACTACCAGAAATGTTATAAAAGATTAAACTGACTCAAATGTTTAAAAGTAACGTTACTTTCTTATTCTTTTATTAAATCCAAAGGACAAGGGGTAGAAGTTTTACTCCTATTTCATGGAAGATTTCACCACCATCAGTAGTACTCAAAATCAAATACCATGTCAATATATTTGCATTACCTGGTTTTTCAGCTGGTTAAGGGTTTGTCTCAAATTGTCCGTTGTAGTCTGGTTACTTCTACAGAATTCTGCAACAGCAGTATTCAAAGTTATTTTGTAGTCATCTTTGTTGATGTCTTGAAGGGTATTTAGGTGTTGTAAGCAAGCATCATAGTTTCCAGCCTGGAAATTGCAAACGTACAAGAAACATGCATTAGAAGATACAAAGTGTTTCCTTTATCAATAGCAAGTGAAGTGAACTAAATGTCTAAATACACACTTCGTTATTTATGCAGATTAACATGTATGAGAACTAAATATAAATATTGAAGCCATATCCAAACTTCAAAAACAATTTGGTGGAGGAAGGACAAATTATGTAGTTGATTATTATAAATAGATGTTTCCATGAAAAGTGTTAAGTTTCAATACTCTTATTTCCTCAGTTTTCATAAACTTTTCCCGATTACGTGAACGTTGAGTGGTTGCAGTTGCTTACACAAGTCCCAGCCCAACATTTTATGTTCATCCTTCACTTCAACTGGATATATAGCGAGTTACAATTTAATCTATGTAAGTCAGCTTAAGATAGGTTGGAAAAAAAAGGTTGCCACTTTCCCAGTATAGGTTTAAAAAACATTTTTACAAGCTTCAGCTGTTGGATGAAGTATTCAGTCACCCAGGCATGGCTAAACAGAAACTAGGAGCCAAGCATGATGCTCTGCTGATGTGTGATTTAATCGAAAAATCCCTTTCTTTGACCTCAGGAATAAACAAAGACTTTAGAAAGGCTCACCTCTGCCTGCTTTCAGTTTTGGTCTTTTCTGTGTTGGTACAGGAGGAATTTAGTGGCATCAAGGAATGAAAGAGAATTCCTGACTCTTTCAACTACATTAAGCCTAAATGACGCTTCACTCTGAACTGCTCAATTCCTACACAGTAATAATCACATTCAGCTCTTCCATATCAGGGTTACCTCCAATCTGGTCAGACAGATAAGCAGATTCATTTCCATCTCTGTCAGTGCTTCACAACCAAAAGCTAAGCTCTTAAGTACCATAACCACCCTCCACTTCCTCCTCCTTTTTAAGTTCTGTTCCATAGAGGTTCTCCTGGGCTCCTGACTAACTTCCTCTATATTAAGGAAAGAATACAACAGAGAAGGGCTCTGGGGTCCTTCTGCTCTTCCCAAGAAAGTTGCCATTCTGCAGTTACTCTCAACGGAACCATTCCAGTTCCTTCAGTCTCCCATGAAAGCACAGTTATACAACCTACAGAGAGATGTAGCAGGACCTTGACAGGCATTTTCACAGCTCTAAGCACCAATAGCATGGATTGCCTAGTGATCATGTGCACAAACATGGGGACTTGGAACTCAACTGCTGGTGTGTTCTTAAATTGAGACAGTTCATCTCCCAGAGATTCTCTTCCTGTGCTCACGCTCCGAGTTTCTCTCCATCAGGAGTAGCTTTCAGATCTCAGCAACACAGCTTCTAATCATGGCTGGACTACAAACCTTGAACCTTTGAATGCTCAGCTTATTTTGTGATGGTTTTTTATCAGCTAAGCATCCTTTATGCCCCTTTACTAGAATACAATAACCAATTTTATGGGAATTCTATCAAGACTGAAATTGGAAGTGTAATATGATAAAGCAGCATGCAAGACAGTCCACAACGCTATTTACAGCTACTCAATAGCAAGAAAATTGGCAAACAAGGCATCAGATTAATTCTGCTCTCATCTGTTGCTACCTCAGAACTCCATGAATTTAGGGAGTTCTTAAAGCAAGAAAAACATCATGAGATAGACCAGATACACTGGACCAGTATAAAAGTAAAAATGAAGTCGACAGTAGATCAAAAGCATTTTAGGCATGTAGATCCGTGGGCAAGGTGGAAAACAAACTACTCTTTCATGTGCCTTCAGTTCTCAGGATCAAATGCCAGGGACAAAAACGTTATTGAAAAAAAATAACTGAGCTAGACAGCATTCAAGAAGACATCGATGAACAGCATCAGCTACAGTCAGTTTAATGACCAACTGCATGCACTTCATATGACAACATTCCAGGCAAAATTAAAGTACTGAGTGACACATACAAGCAGGAATCTCAAAAGAGAGCATTTAAATTCTTCCCCCCAATTTATTTCACACATCCAAAACTGAATTAACACAAGGCATTTTGGAGATAGAGATACAACAACTGAAAAGAAAAGCAATTATACTTCCTGTCACATTAAATAAAATTAGGAGACAATATAAGGAAAGAAATAAACCTGAAGTCTGGGTACCTGAATTTTAACACACATAAAAAAAAAATCTTCTGAGAAACACAAAACAGGCAGTAAATATTTCCTGTAGATGTTATGCATAGAAGAATATGTTTTAATGCGAAGTGACAGAGCAGTATATAATGCTTTATGTGGAAGAATGATGCTAAAGCACAAAAAGGTTTGCTTCCTTGTTGTTTTTTAAATACATGTGGTTCCTTTAGACCCTTTAGCACAACATTTTTAGCTTGAAGTGATTAATTCTTCAGAGAGATCATGCATTTCCAATGCTGACACAGAATAGCAGCCTGTTTCTTCTAATTAAATCATCATACAGCTTTGAAGGTTACTAAGTTTTTAGAATCAAGGTTAAACATGCTCTTGTTCAAGTATCCTGTTCAGTCTTCTCACATCACATCACACAGAAAATGCATGTGCTGTTTTTACAACCCAACTATTGCTACTTTGATATAATATTCTCTTCATGCATTTGCAACTGGATTAAGAAAAGAGCAAAAACAATTATTTAAGCCCACTTAGTAGTTATCAGGTAAATTAGAAGTCTCAGAGTTTGGCTTTGTCTCACCTGAAAAGCTTGTAATGCACTGCTCGACAATTCCTTCTCCTGATCAGTAATCCCAGAAGTACCTGCTCCTTCATGTTTCTCAGTACCTTGATCTGTAAAGTGGACAGAAGATTACAAGAAAGTTTGCAAGTGTGATGACAGCTATGCAGCTTAAACATTTTGCTTCTTCCGGTTCTCAAGAGCCTCCTGCCAGTACAAACAATTTTCCAGATAATTCCAGCAATCTCCCTACTACACTATCTATATCCCAAGTTACATCTCCTACTACAGTATCCCAAGTTACTCTATACTAGTGAATTCCTCTCCCTAAAATGTAAATTACTGTGCTCAATCAATAACCAAACTCCTCCAAGTTAACTGACAATCCATACATTTTAGATTTCTCTTTAAAGCTGCAACCATACACTAGGATTGTCTTATTTTGCTCAAAAAACAGCAGTGAGGGCCATGCATCATAAAATAGGTACCACACACTGGGCAAGATGAAAAACCCATGCATCCTGTACACTGCTTCCTAAACAGCAAGCAAGGGATGCTCTAGGGATCAACAAAAACCAGAGCAAACGCTGGAACTTCCACACAGCTCCCTGCTTTGGAAAAGTATCTCCTTAAACAAGAGGCTGCAATAGAACCATCATTGTTAATAATCACTGACAGACCCGACACATTATTTAAGAAAACTCTCTATACTTTTGTACTCTTCAATATATTCCATCCAGTGCTGTCTGGTGATTATACTGCAAGGCACAAGCAAATGCTGCCTATTCACTCTTTCAGCCTCACTCCAAATCTTACAGAACTTTCTTTGAATCATCTCTCTGTCAAGGTAAGCAGGAGCAGTTTATTCTGTATCTTCCTCACATTTTTTTTTCTCAGAATCCCTTCCTGTTCTGCTATATCCTTTTCCAGACTAAGACAACAAGAACAACCTGCAGCAGTTATAATGGTGGACCCTTTATGCATTTATATAGCAATGTAATAAGGTTATAACTGTCTTCAATTTCTTTTAATAGAATTCCTAATAGTTTGTTTCACTCACCATTGAGCATATTTTTCAGAAAGAAGTCAACTAAATCCTTTTCTCATCATGTAATTAAGAATTCACTGAAGTTGCATTAAAAAGCACAGTAAGGATATTCCATGTCAAAGAAGCTGAAAAAAACCCCAAATCACTAAGCCCTTCCTTGTGCTGAACACAAACTACTGGAGAAAAAAAAACCCAACCACACAACCACCACACCAGACAGATTATTTCTAAGAGTGTTAACTAATGTGCCAGAACATACAAAAATCATTTTACGTTTTTCAAACAAAGACTTTATAAAACAGCAATGGTTTCCACTTTTGCAGAAAATTATTTCTTGAATTTCACAGTGGAAGATTTGCTCTAAGCTACCTTTTGCTATCTTAACACGCTAGGTAGGCTTTGCAAATTTAATGCCTTCTTTCTCTTCCCTAGAATTCAGAGACATAATGCGAACTCTGCTAATTTTGGTTTCACTTTGAACAAATGAAAACACTTAGCTATGAGCTCCTCTGCAAAATCCATTCCCCACCATCACCAATATATCTGGATTGCCTTGCAGTAACTAAGAAACTTTACAAATATAGGACAAACAACAACAGTAAGGGGTAGCCAAAATTCAGAAGATTCATCAATTAATTAACATCCACAGTGACCATAAAACAGACGTACTAATCTATCAAGTTTGTGCCTGTTGCTGGGAAGATGGTGACATCCCTTCCACTGCCCTCTGCAATAACATATTTGAACGAGAATCATAAACTGGTTGTGACTTTCATCCTTCGTAAAGATGTCAACAAAGTTGAGATTTTAAAATCTCAGCAATCTTACACCTGCAAGCATGACCCACTGTGATTTAGACAAAATTCAGGATTCAGCAACTTCAGTACTCTGGAGGGATGGACCCCCAGGGGCCTACACCTGCTATAAAATCTGACTGTACAAGGCACTGATCAACACCACTTGCACTGCCTTCTCCTTGAAAGGAAAAGGTAGAAGAGAGCTTTAAAACACAAAAAAGCTCAGAAAACCTTTGATGTGCCAAAGGCTTTCTGTAACAAAAAAGGAAAGGAACAAGAAGCACCTCTCCTTCAAGCTAAATATAGCAGAGATTTAATTGCTGTTCTAAACCTTCTAAACCTTCTGCTTTATACAGATGAACAGAAAGCTATCTCCCTCCAAGGACCTCTAGAACAGCAGCAAATAAGCAAATGCAACTTCCCTCAAACTTTCACACTAACAGTGGCAATATCTGCTTTCCTTGCTCAGCATGACTTCAACATTGTGCTAGTAAAGGTAAACACACTGCAGAGCCTTGGGACTCCAAAACTTTTGAAGCTGATAACACTCAGTCTGACCAACAGGTTCCTCACATACAAGTTTACCTAGCAGAGAGCCATCAACTACCAAGCTGCATTACTGATTACTGCCATTGTATGTAGGGGTCGTAAAACCAGCATCTCAAATGAAGTAATCCTGAAGTAAAATGTCTTCAGTTAAGTTACAGATAAACCAAGAGACACTCGTCTAAGGTCTGCAATAAAAGCACCACTTACACAGCTGTTTTATATATTTCCTAGGGAAAAAATCAGGACAGGTCTTCAGATTTCACTGTGTCTGTTAGCCTGCTGGTACATTAAAAAAACCCCTACTTTAAGCAAAAACAGAGCTGTCCCTTCTCCTGTAGAGTCAGTTGTATGGCTGTAATCCAATCAATCACGCCTACTACCACTCAGTAAACAAAGCAGGTTTGTGAAACCTGAACTGGAAGCTTATCAAGAAAATAAAACTAAAGTCCAGCTGACTTATTTCACAGCATAGTTTTGTCCTTTGGAAAAAAAAACGCTTTGGATACTCTCTACCCTTTTTGTCCAAACACACCTGAAACACGTCAAAGACTTAAAAGCCATTCCAGTCTAATATAATATGGACATCCTTGTTTAGCCTGGGATCTACTGCTTCAGCTCATCTTTATTAGCAAGAGATCCCTCCAGCAAGAGTCACCTGAAAGCTGGCACAAGATACTGAACAGAACCCACCAATTCCACCTAGACGGGTGGGGAAAGCACTCCTCTTGGCTGCAAACGACTATCCCCAGTGCTTGCAAATTAAACTATTACTTCCATATTCCTTGAGGCATTTCAAAGTGAAACAGGTAGGAAAATTGTTCCTTGGCAAAAGACACAGCACGCCGCTTGCCTGCTCTGACCTAGAGACATGCAGCGTTCTCGCAGAAGCAGCTGGTGTGGGTAACACACGGCACACCAGTCACCTCCGACACGCTCCCAGCCGTACGGCAGCTACAACTATCAGCTGAAACATCCACAACTGTGTAGTCTCTCTGCTTCACAAATGACAGCACTTGATTTGTGTCTGTAAATTGTATTAACATATGGACCCGTTTGTTTAACTTTCCGTTTGTCCAACCTTCATGAGCACAGAACAACTCCAAAACTAAAACTTGTCAGGCTCGTGATGAGGGGCAAAAAAGGGCAACCTGGAAAAGTATGTAGAAATCAACCACTCGGATTTTGATCTGGAGGAAGCTGCTGCACTGAGCTGGAAGTCAAAGAATCAAGCCAGGGAATTATCTTCCTAGCTATTGTTCCTGGGGCTGAGAAGCAGAAACACTGTGTCACAGGGGCTGGTTTGCTTTGCACAAGCAGGCAGCTGCTCCTAGTGGAGAAGTTACATCATGGTGGACAGCAGAACTTCAGGAAAATTGGCTCTATGAGAGGAGAACAAAGAAAAGCATGAGACTGCCACCTGACATGGGAGATTGCTCTCCTCATGGGCTTGCTGCCACAATATCATAAAAGCAACAAGAAGTCACATCTCCCACATACACATACCTGAAGACACCTGAGAGTGACTGCAATCATTATCCTTCTCATACCTGCTCTCCGTTTCTCCAAGGACTGCTGTTCCTGAGCTCTCTTGTTCCTACGCCCTGTAAATTACATCTTGCATGAACTGTGCTGTTGAACACCAGAGTATCTCTGGAATTATTTTTTATTTCCAAACTCTACAGGCAGGGGGATAATCTCTTTCTTGAAAGGTGAGGAATCTATCACATGAGTCTTGCTCCAAAAGCATTTTGAAAGGTATGAAGACCAGCCGGCGTCCAGCCTTTATAAGATAATAGTTTGTGGCACCAAGACTTACACTTCAGTTTTTGTATGAAGCCCTTCACTACCAGTATAGGTATAATAGGCTTCTTTTGTGTTGTGCAATAAAAAGCAAACACTTCTCAGTGGAAAGCTAATTGTAGCTTGCTGTTATGAAAATGTACAGCATGTAGAATATCTTGCCACAGCTCACATCTCTCAAGGAACTGAAAAGTTCCTTCAACACTTCAAAGAACAGCAATAAAACATATTGAAAAATTAATGCCAATTTTTTTCTTGTAGTTTAGGAGTCACTTACAGTTCTTATAAAATACACATGATAGTTTAGTAAACATCACTCAAGACAGTATACTAATCTTCCCCATAATTATTTTCCAGATACTGAGGTATTTCATATTTAGCATCCAGAGAAAAAAATGCTTAATGTGATTTTAAATAATGCTCCCATCACATAAAACCAACTGAAAAAAAAAAAAAAGAACACAGGTGACCAGTGATAGGACCCAAGGGAACGACATGAAGCTTGTGTCAGGGGAGGTTTAGGTTGGATATCAGGAAAAGATTTTTTTACCCAGAGGGTATTCAGGCACTAGAACAGGGTCCCCAGGGAAGTGGTCACAGCACTAAGCCTGACAGAGTTCAAGAAATGTTTGGACAATGCTCTCAGGCACATGGTGTGATTCTTGAGGATGGTCCTGTGCAGGGCCAGGAGTTGGACTTCGATGATCCTTGTGGGTCCCTTCCAACTCAGGATATTCTACAATTCTATTAAGTAGAATTGTGCAATTCCGTAAGTAAGGCTTTCCTCCACACACCCTCTTCTCCAACCCGCCCTGAGCTGCCATCTGAGGGAAGGACCATTCCTGCAATGAAGACTTCTTGTACGATGGGGAATCTTATGGGGGAGGGACAAACAGGAGCTTATCACTGCTAGGGAGTTACACGGCAACTGCATTTGAAATTTATTTTGCCTGTTTACCAGATGACGACTTATTTTTTAGCGATCTCGGTGATTTCTCTCTACAGGGTCCTTTCGGGCCCGAGTTCAGTGAGGACCCACTCGTGCCCTGGAACCAAAGCAGCATCCCTGAGGGAATCTGACTGAACTCCAGCAGCACCACTAGGAGTTATAATCTCTCTCGCACCTTCCGCATGCCCCAGTTTAACAAAGTAACCCAGAAGCTCGACTTCTGTAGGGGTTATTAAACCCTGGAAAACACCCCCTCCCCGCCAATAAGTCCATAGGGCGCTCCCCACCGAACCCTCCCAGGCCAGGAGGGGGCAACAGCCCAGCGCCGCTTGCCGAGGGCACGGAGGGCCCCGTCCGCACACGGGCCGGCCGGTGACCCCGCAGGTGTCACATGGGTCCCTCACGGCGGCCACCGCGGCCCCGGACAGCGGGGCACTACTTCCTCGGCGGAAGGGCACAGCATACTGCAGTCGCAGCAACCGTTTCTCGCGGCGCTCACCGCCCCCCGCGCGGCCGCGTATCCCTCCGCGCGGGCGGCCCAGGCCCGGGGCGGGCATGGCAGGGCCGCGCCGCTCCCCCCGCACTCACCCGCAGACTTGTCCGCCGCCATCTCCGCTGCCGCTCCGTGCCTGACCACGCAGCCCGAGCGCGGCGGTAGTTGCCCAGAGTCCCCTTCGCGCTGCGCCACAGGCACTGACCGACCTTAACCACCGCCGCCGCCGACACCCGGCCACTGCCCCCCCGGGACTACTTTGCCGCTGCCGCCCTGCGCGCGCCTGGCCCGCCCCGCCGATGCGCCGTCCGCACCGATTCGCCGTCTCTTCCGGGTTCCCAGCGCGCCCGCGACGTCCGGCCGTTACCGGGGCAGCGCGGACGTGACGTCAAGACGCCGACGGGGAGCGGGGACGGGCGGAGCCGCCATGTTGGCGTGTGGGGGCCGGGAGCGGCCGGAGGGGGGGCACTGGCCAGGGCTGCGGCGCCACGAAGCGCCCTGGCCCTGCTGTCTCGGACGGGTTTTGTCTTTGCTGCCAGGTTCGGACGTGCCGGATCCTAATCAATGTGTATAAATATCTAAAAGGGGGGTGCCAGTAGGGTGGAGCCAGGCTATTCTCTGTGGTGTCCAGCAATAGGACAACAGGGAACGGGCAGAAACTGATGCACGAGAACTTCCACCTGAAAAGGAGGAACTTCTTTACTGTGTGGGTGACTGAGCACTGGAACAGGTTGCCCAGAGATGTTGTGGAGTCTCCCTCACTAAGATACTTCAGAGCTGTCTGGATGCAATCCTGTGCAATGTGCTCTAGGATGACCTTGCTGGAGCAGGGGGGTTGGACCAGGTGACCCACTGTGGTCCCATCCAGCCCTGCCCATTTGATTCTGTGATTCCCTCCGGAGCAGCCAGTTGCTGGTAGTGGTGACCTGGAGGCTTCCGTCAGGTGTCACCAGCTGCTGATGGTGAAACCTTCAACATATTCACTAGTTTATGTGGATTATCAGCCTGACTATCTAAAGTATTGTAAAGGTGCTCATCACGATAGTAGTTTCAAGAGCCAATGTGGCCCGGTGTCTGCATCCTGTATTCTTCCCTAAGTGGCTGTTTGGGCACCAGAGACCTGAGGAGGCCCAGGTTCACAGCAGGAGTTTGAAGTGTCCCTGGAATTCAGTGCTGGGGTGGGGAGGGGGAGAGGGGCAAAGCACCTCCTTTGTCATGTCCAAATAGCATTTGCTGTGGTTGTCATTATCTTTGTCATTAAAGTACCAAGCATGGGATAAATGGCACTGGCAGAGTCATGAATATTAAAGATTTTTAAATGTTTGTGAAATTATTGTACCTCTGTGGCACTGGTGAGGCCACACCTGGAGTACTGTGTTCAGTTCTGGGCCCCTCAGTTCAGGAAGCACATTGAGGTGCTGGAGTGGGTCCTGAGAACAGCAACAAAGCTGGCGAAGGGTCTGGAGCACAAGTCCTATGAGGAGGGGGTGAGGGAGCTGGGGTTGTTTAGCCTGGAGAAGAGGAGGCTCAGGGGTGACCTTATTGCTCTCTACAACTACCTGAAAGAAGTTTGTAGCAAGGTGGGGGTCAGCCTCTTCTCCCTGACAACCAGCAACGGGACAAGAGGACATAGTCTTAAGCTGTGTCAAGGGAGGTTTAGGTGGGACATTAGGAAGAATTTCTTCGCTGAAAGGGTGGTTAAACACTGGTACAGGCTGCTGCTCCGGGTGGTGGAGTCACCATCCCTGAAGGTGTTCAGGAAATGACTTGGTGCTTTGGTCTAGTTGACATGGTGGTGTTCAGTCACAGGTTGGACTCGATGATCTCAGAGGTCTTTTTCAACCTAATTGATTCTGTGACGACTTGGATATACTATCTACAGCATTTAAGCATTCACCTGTGCTAAGAGGTATCTTTGTGGGCTCAGCAGCCACATGTTGTTCAGATTCTTGGGTAGGGTCTCTCTGGATGAGTGCAGAGGAGCCAGACAGGGGATTCTTTTTTCAACCCCCATATATATACAATGGGAGGAGGGATGAGGTAAGAAAAGGCCCCAGGGATGTCCCCTCTCAGGCACCAAAAGGCTTCCTGTGCATCTGTCCCTTGGAGTCAAGCTCCTGAGACACAGGGACAGTTACCCTTAATTGCCACCATCATTGTGCTGCACCTCTATGTGCTTGCTCTGTGTCACAGTGTGGACACTGCTTCCACAATATTGTCACCTCTTATTATGGGAACACTTTCTTTTATTATTTCTCCAGATGTGGTTCTCCAAGACTTCCTCTGCCTCTTCTTCATTTATCCCTGTTAAACACTGACTTGTTTTTCTACTTGTGACAGCAAGTGTAGATATACCCAGTTCTGATTAACAGGTTTTACATTATATGATTTTGGCCTTGCTGCCAGCAGACAATGTTTGTCAAGGAAGACCAGACTATCAGAGGCATCTGGTATGCCTCTGGTACATTAGATAAAGGTTTACTTCAGAGAGGTAAGGTTTGCAGGCAAGGGTAGGTGATGCTTCCTTTAACAGAGGGATACAGTGGGAAAAAAAGAAACACACTTTAAGACACATTAGCTCTGAATACCTTTAAGCCACAGCTTTTAATGAGCCAGGCCCTGTAAAATGAAAGATTCTGAAAAGGTTATTTCAAGAATTTGAACAGCAGTATGATTCTTTCTGTTTTGTAACTGAAGTTCTGAATATTCCAAATTGTGTTTAATAACTTCTATTATCACCGCTATTATGTTGTCATTTTATTTACAGGTACATATATCTGTAAAAACCATGCTGTTTTGGTAAGAAATAGAGGCAAAAGCACTGTGTTATGAGAGTAGCTGCATATTCTCTCTGACTTTTATCAAAACAACAAAGTCACCAAAAATTCACCCTGAGTGACAGAGCTGGAATGCCCCATGTGGACCTGATGTGGATGCGTGTCCCTCTCCCTTAGGCTTGGTACAGTGTTTACTGCCAGTACCTGAGCAGTAGCCTGTTTGTTCTGGAGCATTCCGCATCAGGATGGGCACCACTGTGAATTTACCATTCCCTACTGTAGCTTTTCTCTAACAATCCTGTCAAAACTCATTTAGCTTCAAGTGTGGCAGCCCTGGTATCCAGCTGCTTCTTTATTCTACATCATGACATCTAGAGGACAATTGTATGAGTTTGCTTTATCCATCTTGCCATTATTTTACCACAGAACTTATCTACCTGAGGGGTACTTACAGCAAGCTTTGGTGTATCTTCCCACATCATTTTACCATGTTTGTGGCTTGTAGTTCCAAAATAATTTCTTTTTTTCCATTTCTAAGGGACAGACAAAGCATTTGTGTCAGCTGGCCTTTTTTTCTTTTTTTCAGTATGTATGATTTTAAAAAGGAACTTAATACAAATAAAATCAGGTATTTCCTCCCTTCTTATTAATAATAAAATCTTAATTGTTTATGTTGTGGAGAGTACTAAAGGAAGGGAAGAGACACCTGCCCTTTATTGCAGTTCAAACATACAGTCATGCAATCAAAAATGTTGACACTTTTCCTTCAAAAATATTGTGGTAGCATCACTACCTTCCTCTAAGGACAGGGAAGTGGGTTTCTTGCCTACACGAATGTATAATTTGCATTCTGCTTGGGGTCTCTGGGCTCAGGGAGGCAGGCACGCCATCTGCTGTGGAAGGTACAGAATAAAATCAAATACTATTTGAGAGAATAAAAAAGTGGTGGTGGGGGGAAACCCCACTTCTAAAATATTAGCTCTCCTGGAGTTTTGTTCTTTCAGGAAAGAAATTTCCACAATTCAGGCTTTTAATCCGAAACTCATTTTGAAGAAAACAAATATGGTACAGAGACAGGCAGATTTTTCTAGGTTTCTTTTGCCCATTTCTAGGCTGAATCATAAGAAGCCCAAAGGAGCCAAATGTAATTTGTAATGTGGGAGGGGAGGGGGGGAAGTTTCGGGGGAATAAAACAAAGCTGCTCCCAGAGAGAGAGAAGTCCCAGCATCTCATTCCTGCCTCGTACAGTACCTTCCTTCAGCAGACTAGATTAAGTAGAAGTAGGCCAGGGTTTCCTCTCTGCTTTTGGCCCCACAAAGCAAACTTTTCAAGGCTCTACTTTAAGTTCTTGGAGATTCAAAAGCAGCAGTACAGCAATCTCCTACCCAGCTTTGCAGCAGTAGATGAGATGTAGATAACCTCTCCACTGATCATATGAGCAAGAGCTGGCTAGTAGAGGAGAAAATCAGGATTTGTGACACCTTCAATCACTGTCAGACTATGGAAGAGAGTATGGCCAGCTCCAGAGGGAACTGTGAAAGTTACAATTCTTTTGCCAGATTCCACAGTATGGAAATCTCAGCAACAATTTGTTTGCCCACATTCCAAAAGACAAATGATTTAATGTAAGAAATACTTTCTCTGTTATTAATAGAGGTCCCTCTCCTTTGCCACTGTAAAGTTTAAAAGCCTTTACCCCCTAGGTGGCACTATACAATAAAGCAAGGCATGTTTAAATACTGTTTTCCCCCTACAGGTGACAGAATCATAGTCACTAAGGTTGGAAAAGACCTCCAAGTTCATCGAGTCCAACCTTTGACAAAACACTACCATACAAACTAAACCATAGCACTAGGTGTCACATCCAGTCGTTTCTTGAATACTTCCAGGGACAGTGGCTCCACCACCTGGATCAGCAGTCTGTTGCAATGCTTAACCAGCCTTTCAGTAAAAAAATTATTCCCAGTGTCCCACCTGAACCTCCCCTGGCACAGTTTGAGGCAATTTCCTCTTGTCCTGTCGCTGGTTGCCTGGGAGAAGAGGCTGACCCCCAGCTGGCTAGAACCTCTTTTTCAGGTAGTTGGAGAGAGTGATGAAGTTACCCCTGAGCCTCCTTTTCTCCAAGCTAAACAAGCCCACCTCCCTCAGCTGCTCCTCATAGGACTTACTCTACAGACCCTTCACCAGTTCCATTGCCCTTTCCTGGACTCGCTCCAGCACCTCAATGTCTTTCTCGTAGAGATGGGCCCACAGTACTCCAGGTGCGGCCTCACCAGTGCCGAGTACGGGGGAACAATCCCTCCCTGGTCCTGCTGGCCACACTATTCCTGATACAGGCCAGGATTCCCGTGGCCTTTTTGGCCACCTGCGCACACCGCTGGCTCGTGTTCAACTGGCTGTCGACCAGCACCCCCAGGTCCTTTTCTGCTGGGCTGATGGAATTCTTATTTACAATGTAAACTAGTGTAAGTATGCTGAATGTAGCTATTAGTCTCAGCTAGGTAATCCTCTTTTTCTGAAACTGTTTCTCTAAATCAGTAAAACACACTGATGTGAATCTCATCTAAATTCAGTATTTTTGCTTTCAGAATGCTATATTTTCCTGGAAAATTATGGTGCATCACAAGCTATTAGTTTTTGTTCTGTCTGTGTGCAGTGAATAAACCAGTATAGGCTATGTTTATTTTAGCAAGTCACTCAGAGCAGCAGGAGTAGACTGATAGCTGTAAACAGCAGGAGCTGAGGTTCCTCACATCTCCAGTATACCCTCACACAGAAATTATTTTGCATCAGGTGAGAACTGGCACAGTACCACACATCTCTATCACCCATTTTGAAACCACCTGAAATAAAGGGATCTCACAAAACTTCAACCACAGGACTTCTAAGAAGCATCAAGTTCCCCTTTCACCTGTCTCATGTAGATGTTTCACACCAGCCTCTACTGTCTACACAAAGACTTCCCAGGCAGAAGGAAGTCCTCTAATTTTTCTCACTCCTGCAGTTTCTGAGTGACACTGTTTTACTTGTTTCAGATCCTGCTTTTCACTGATGCTGGAACATGTGTTGCTTGGTAGTGCAGGGGAGGAACAAAAGCCTTTGCCTTGCAGCCACATTGCCAGGAAAATATCTTGAGTAAGGCCTTCTCACCCCTTGCTTTCACATGCAAAAAAAAAGATAATATTTTTCTGACAGTGTTTACCACTGTGACAGTTTTGCTCACAGTCAAATAGAGATGCTGAGCCTGAGAGACAAGCTTAGACAGACAGGACCTCGCCAATATTGGAATGCAGAAATAGAACAAGCAGGTGCAAAACTCCTGAGAGCAAGGGGCTACCACTGAGAAACATAGAGAACAGTGGAACATAAGGGATTTAGAGGAATGATGTCATAATATCCTCAATAAATTTCTATGATTCCCTTTTGAAAAGAGGTGCTCTTCTTTTCCTCACATTATAGTACCTGATAAATAACTCATGCCATTATTTACCTCCCCCTTTCCACATTCTAGCTCTGCTCTGATTTTGCTTGTATATGGTATTATGTGTTGTCCCTCCATTTGGTCTCATAATAGCATCATTATATTTTTCTGCTAGTGGGTTTAAGTCCAGAGAACACCCAAATTGTGCCAAGGCTTTCCTAGGATAAGAAACAAAACATTGTCTCATATAATCTTTGTCATTTTTCCCTTCCAGTGTCATCCAGAAGAAATCTGTGCACCCACTTACAATGAATCTGGAAACCAAAGAGTTTGTGGGAGGAGAACTATCCCCATATCACCATACATTTGGGGTTGTTTCCTTTCCTGTACAGAAGGCTAACCCAAAGCTTAGGGGCCTTTGGTTTCCACTTACTCAAATTGACAGAAGTGCCTTTATTTCAACAGAAGGGTACTAAGGCCCAATCAATAACTTGCAGAGGGGCAAAATTTCCAGTGTTACACAGTTAGGAGTAAAAGGTCTCTAAAACATTTTGTGATTACATCAGTGCCTTTTAGTGCAAGCAGGAATTGATTTATTTATAACAGCAGGATGTCTGCATGACATAAGTGTTTATGTCCAATGTGTCAAGCGCTACTTTATGCCCTTCCACACCGAAGAGCTTTGACCCTTTCTGAGACACTGAAATAGAAAGCCAATGTACCTATGTCAAATCAGAGGCTTTGAAGAAACACTGCTTCTTTCAGCACAGTCTTAAGAATTCTTCCTGTGCCAGCCTCAGCTGCTATGTACACTTTGTAGGGAAGTCTAACACTTGCTGCCTTTGGTTTGCAGTTCCTAGGAGGCTGGAGTAAATTGAGAAATTATGTTATGTCTCCAGGCAGGAATAATCTTTAAATGGGAAAAGTAAATTCTTACTAATGACTTGTTTATGGTAGTTATTATTCTCAGCATTTTTTCAGACATTCAGAAAGAGATGACTTCTCTCTTGATAAGTATAAAGCAATTCTTTTTTCACTAAAGATACAAATTATGTTGCCAATAAAGCCTATATAAGATGTTGCAAAAGCCAAAGAATGTGTTCAGTACAATTCTTTTACCTTCACACGGTGCATTACAATCTTTGTGTATGTTCTCATTATTCTTCCTTACTTTTTTAGAGTTCTCACAGGCATTTAAGTAAATTTAAAGTATTTTTTCCTCTAAAACTTGTAGGAACTTATGAACTGTCACACAATTTGTTAAAATATGTTAACACTATTGTGATAGAGGTTTTTTTAGGAGATAGGAGGTTTGTTTACCTATTATTTGCCTAAAATTGTAGGTCTCTCTAAAACTTGCATCTAAGTGCCTTCATGTGGCACATCTGCAGATCATATGATAATATCAAATTTGTTGTTTGTAGTGAAAACCAACAGGAAATACCAGTTGACAGATACCATTGTTCTCTCTTTGAGTCTGTGAGCTTCTGACTCAGATGGTCTCCAGTTCAAGTCAAAATCTCAGGTTTTAATGATACATAATTAAATACAAAAGTTTTTGGTTTGGTTTTTTAAAATTAAATTTTAACTTGCCATGTTACATACCAGGAATAAAATACTGTAGGTGATCCTGGATGAACTCAGGACAAAAATCCCAATCCATATGTTTTCTTTATTTATAAAGATTAATGTAGACTTCATTTTATTTCAATAGTTCACGTTGACTCTTAGAGTGCTGAATATATTTGACTGTAGTAGTAATCTCCAAAAGCTAATTTAGCTTCATTCTATCAGTCCTTTTTGCCTAATCTAAGTCAGTCAGAAATACATGTGGCTTCAAAGGAAAGAGAAAAAAGCATAATGAAAATAGTCAATGTGTTCCAAAATGTTAAAAAGACAGAAAGCTATTTAAAGAACAAAACATGTCTCAGGAGCTCGAGAATCACTGTGGACTGACATATGGTAATCGTATGTCAGCATATGGCTGTGCTGCATCTACAGCATATATCCATTTGCTAAATTCTATTTGTGTCCAAAGTTGTAGCAAGAAGATCAAGTTTCAATGTAGAAGCATGATGATATGTTTCACTTTTGATTTTCTGCAGAAGTAATCTTGCACATTATTGTTTCCTTGCTCCTTTTCCTGACTTCAGAGACCATCGTGATGCTTAAAAGTAAATTTACCCATCTCACCCCATGTTAATTTCTCAGTGTTGGGAAAGATAGGACCAAACACAGACTTTTTGCCCCTCTGCAAGATTCAAAAGGTGCAGTGAATACAAGCATGTAGAATTAGGAGAGAGGAAACAGTTTCAGCTTCCTGCTCTAAATCTAATAATTTAATAACCTAATCACTGAGTCATTGTGTGTATTTGTCTCTGGTTTCTAGAACAGAAATCCCATTCTAAACTTGAGAACTCTCCCTTTGGAAAATTTTGCTGAAGTTAATATAATGTTGGTTTCAATTAAATAGAAATATTAGAAAAGTGCTGGGAAATTTCCAGTGCTAGTCAGCTGGAAACTAGCTGTGAGATATGAGCTAACCCAAATTCTCATGTTGTTTCCCGAAGAAACATTTCTTCCTCCATCCCAAAGCTGAAGATAGCTGTTTGTTTCAGTTTTAGTGCCCATGTTAAAACTGAGAAACTACACATTTGACTGTTCTGGCAACTAGAAAAGCAGGTCATTAGGAGCTGCAAATAATTCCGTCAATTAGCAGTAATAACACTGAATATTGTATAATACTTGATGGGTCTAAAATTTCTTCCATTACTCCAGTTTAAATGGCAAGTGAGCATTTTACTTAGGGACTGTGAAATAGGCTAGAGCAAGAAAAGAAACCAAGCTGTAGAACTTCCAAGTGTAATACAGTGTTGTCTGAGTTACACAGATGAAGTAAATGGAGCACATATTTCCTTTCAATCTGGAAACAAGCAGTGAAAAATTTCAATTTCCAGTCAGAAGGTCAGGGATCGGATTCTCCTCTCAAGATAAATCCAAAATAACTTTGCCAAAGGAATGTCACTAGACTGACCCTGCTATACTCAAGATGAGAAATTCACCCACGTTTTTGAGTCTCAAGCATGAATGAATGCAGCAAAGCACTCATTTAATTGTTTGGTTCTGTTACACGGGACATAAGATAACTATGTGCATCAAGAGCTAGGGAATGGAGAGCTACTTTTAACATGCACAGGTCCTGGCATTAGACAAGCACCAGAATTTCTGCCTGAGGATTGCTGCACTGAAATCTACTGAAGGTTTATCATAACCCACCACAGCGGTGGTTGAGAAGAGGCCGTGTGATGTTAACAGCAGTTTCTGCTTCACTGCATTACCTTGTAATGACATTAGCAAATATTTTACATTCTGTGAGGGGAATGCTTCCCTCCTCCTCTCTGCTGCTTAGAAACAGTGAAGAGATGAGATCTGACACTTGAAAATGCTATAGTGCTGTGACCTCAACAGGGTATAAGATGGTCTTAGTGGATGCAGAAAATTCAGCTGCCTGAAGTACTTTTGCTTTGTCCAGCTGGTGTTCTACCGTCCACAAAGCTGCTTCCAGACAGCAGTGCTTTGTTATTCACTTGACTTTACTAACCCTTGTCAGAGTTAATTGGATTTGTGACATGGTCAGATGTTTATTTCTTGATTCTGTTGTCCCTTGTCTTACAGGACACACATGCCAGGGGAAACTGCAGCACATCTAGCAAATAGTAAAATATGAAGAGATATGTGGACATGCTTTTTAGGAACTAAAATTTAAGGAAATGTGTGCTTAAAATATTTTTTTTTTTACTCGTTATGCCAATAACACTTAGCTCCCGATTTATCAAGATAATTAAAGCAGTTATAAAACTTTTTGTTTAAATATATCCACAGCTCTCCAGACAGTCAAATACCACACTCATTCATTCTGTCATGCATAAATGCCCAACTAAACCTTATTGTATCTGAATGCTATTTTGGGGAAGAATGCACATAAATCACAGAAATACAAGGTTACACTTCTGGTAAAATCTCTTAGTTTATTAAGTATTACAAAAACTTACATCTTTATGAAAGCCACTGCATACAGTCATAATTTGATTACACTTTCCTTTGTGTAATAACTTTTGGGTTGTATATGAGATTACAATCTCAGGCTATAAAATAGTTCTTACGCAACTCACTTTCTAAATCTTTGCTACTATTACTGGTGTAGTATTTTTGCTGTAAATGTTTTTAAATACAATTTTAAAATGTTTATCAAGTTATTGATACCTGTGATTTAAATCAAAAGCCACAAAAAAGGGGACTTAATTTAGAACTGCTGCAAAAAGAATGAGTTTTAGAGTAGATTCCCAGATAAGGTTTTATTCTGAAATACAATCTACCTGCTTACAGAAGTTTTGGTTAGATGAGAGGCACATACATTGCCTTTGAAAACAGATACGCGCACACATGCTCACACCCAGAGCACACATGGGTCACACCACCCTGGAAGTCACAGTGGATACAGTCTTTTCTTCAGGCTTGAAACAAGAGTAAATAAATCGATCACGGTCTTGGGTACAAAGAGCATACAGGAATACCTGAACATTCACTCATATGTCAGCATGAGCTAAATTTCACAGATGTTATTTGATAGTAAGAGCCATAAGACAGGAAGAGAGAGACAGACTGACAAAATAGTTAAGCATGGGCTTAACTTTAAGTTTGTATCTAAATCCTTATGAAGTCAACAGCTATGCTGTTGGAGCTATGCCAGTGTGTAGCTGAAGATGTGACCATCCTAGGCTACTTCATGTAAGCATGTTGTTATTAAGTTCATAAGCAGAAATGGAGTCAGTCAACTATTTGTAAGTGTTGTGAAAAACATATTAGCAAAATTTTTATATTGGCTAGTGCAAAAGAATAATAAAATCAAAGAGAAACTACTTGTCATCAAGTCAGCAAGAAACAGTGTGCACGATTTATTTCTATTTCATTCTAATTTTATTGTTAACAGAGCTCCAATGCTTTCAATGCACATAAAGCCAGCATAGCACAGAGGCAAATCAATTGAGCTTGGTTTCATTTTGGACAGCATTGGAAGCATCTGCTAAATGTACAACAAGACCAACTTTCTCTACCCCAACATATAATAGATGAGAAACAGGAGAGGATTTTTTTTTTTAAATTATAATGCTTCCATCTTTTGTATTGATTTTGACAGGCCATTGGACCCATTAAAGAAGACAATGTTTGATCCTTCACTCTTGCATTGTAGATACAAGCAAAAAGACTATCCACCTCGATCCTGAAACTGTTATTCTACCCCACTAGGAACTTCAGGAATGAACTTAGTAACTATAGTGGGGCAAGGTATGAAGTTAAATCACTAAGTTTCTGAAAAAGTTACCAAGCTGGAGAAATTTTATCAGAATATTATCTTCTGTGGTATCAGTGTTTCTGTTTGACAAAATAATTATAAGAAGCATTATCTTATGCTGTAGTGTATTATGTTAATTAAAAGTTCTTCATTAAATTTCACTGAGGGCAATCATAGAAAAAGGTATCATCTCCAGACAACAGTCTATAAAATATTTGGTGCATCATAGTTGCTTTATTTCATTAACATGTGTCTTTCAATATCATTATTTAGCTTCAATAAAGCTGAGATTTATTTATTTATATGGCATCTAGTAGCAATCTACAAGCAATAGCTGGAGCAGAAAAAATGGTTCTTCTCCAGTCATGCCTATTACTGTGAATTGATTTATTTTTGGAGTAGAGCTCCATTAGGAAAGATAAGTTTTCTAGCAAGCTATTCGAAATGCAGTAAAATATTAAAGAACAATCAGGAAAAGAAAGAAAAATTGCTTTGTGCTTTTATTATTTATTAACCTGTTTGAGTTAGCACTTACTTTTATACAAACATGAAGAGTTACAAGCCCCATAATACTCTGTGCTATTAAACTGTACTGTTCTCAGCCCTAAAAAGATAGGAGAAAAACTATTAAGGTTAACAACCATGTACACACCAACATAAAGCTTATCAGCTTTTATTTATTCTTACAGTTCTTTCACAATACATTATTAATACCAAAGTTGTATCAACTACCATGAATATCTAACTGATTAAAAACTTGCATGTAAGTCCACAAGATACTGCTGAGGTCTGATTCAATCTAAAACAAGATTAGATATTTGTAGGAGAACCAAGAATGTCTGTTAAGAAAAACCGAAAGCACAAAACCTCAACGAAACCCAATGCTCTGTCGGAAGCCAAATTCCAACTTAAAAAGCAGCATTCCTCTAGACATGCTGTTGGATTTTGTGTCATTTCTACATGAACCTTGGAAGCAGGACTGCCACAAAATGATGTGTTAAAGGCATACATCCCTCTTTTCAGATACAAGGCCTTCCTTAGTGACAGGAATAGGATGTCCACTTACAAAACAATTTATTAGAAAACTACCGAAAGCTGGCACAAGAGAAAACATTTCCAGACCTGAAAGTTCCTTAGTTCTCCACCCTGCCAGGAGACAGGCTGCACATGCAGCACATTACCCCACGATGACAGGGACCCTTTGGGTGGTACCTGAGAGGAAGTCCATCTGGCCACCTGCTTTGGAGCCGGCAGCCCTGGAAGTGCTGCCATCCCTGACACAGAGGCAGCTGCAGCTCTTGGAAGGCTGGGCCACCTGCCAAGTGGATGGGTAGATAAGCTGGCAGACAACCAGCAAGTTTCTGACAAAAATCTGACAAGCTTGGGTTCCACATGATTTTTTTATTTTTAAAACATAAGAATGCTAGTTTCTATTCATACCAAAGTTCCAAGTAGTTTATGTTAGGAAGTCTACTTCCTGTCTCCAAAATGTATGTTGAGTAAAATTTAACTTGACAGTTTGCCATGAAGGTCAGATAAAAACAAACATTAAGCAATATATGCCTAATTAGAAAAATTAGTATTGAAATAAGTAAAACTGTACAATATACCTAATAAGTCTGTGTCATCTATTGCCAGAGTAGTGCAATACTTTAGAAGTTCTGCAAATAGTTCTAAGAAACACTCCTGAAGTATCAGAAGCAATGAAGCTGCTTTACTGTGGCAACTCCTCAGGCATGCTAGGGCCACACATGGGCAGACACTGACTATAATAATGATTTAAAATGTTGTAACTCTCCCAAGTTTTTGTTAACTTCCCTTAGCAAGAATTAGTAAAAGGATAATGTAATCTACTGATACAGCTCAGTATGAAGTTGTCTCAGCACAAATTTTAATCAGTATTTTAGACATAAAGTAGCACATGTTAATGGAGTTACACTGAATGTTGTGTCTGAGCTAGAACCTTCGGCTTGGATTGTGCAGTTTGCTTACCTATTTAGAAGAGAAGGAAAATCTACAGACCTCCCATTACTGAACAGACGAATAATTAAGCAGCAACAACTTAGCTCTTGCAGTAGCTAAACTAAAGAATTTTAGCAGCCTTCAGCCGTGTAAAATATTATTTGGGGATTGAAGGTTGAATCCACATTGATCAATCCAATATTCCTTCTGCACTTGTGTCAATGCTTTCACACCCTGACAGGGTGGCTGGCAAGCCACAACCCAAGTTCATATTGCTTTGCAGTCAGGAGTTCACTAGAAAGGAATGCTGACAGAGTCGTCCCTTTTGAGTACCTACATCTCGCTGCATTTGGTTTTCAGTATTTCCCCTTCACCATTTGAAAGAAATGCAGGTTTCATGCACCCCCTTTAGTATTAATTAGCCCGAGGCCTAACACTTGGGACCAAAATAGCTTTATGCTACGTTATATTCCTTCAGCTCTTAAAAGTGTGAGAACCAGTTTCAGCTCTTCTACTTTTTTTTTTTTGCCAGACCCTAAAGAATCTGTTAAGGAAAGCAGGAATCACTGAAGCAAAGAAGGATCCACATCAGGCATTCTGTCCTTTGACAACAAGAAAATACCAGCATCCCTTTTGCAATCTGGAATTTCTGCTGTACAAGACTTCAGAGAGAAAATATCTGGCAAAAGGAAAAGTGAAAAGCCTTGTCTCAAAGCTTCCATTTTATATATTACACAATTTAACTTCTCTGACCAAGGAAGGTGGTGACTGCCAACTCTTCTTCCCTGAGAGCCAGAAGGAATAGCAGAGCATAGAGGTAGTCAGTACACATTTTAATGTACTGCTGTCTCATGCACTCTGGACCATCAAGAGAAAAACTGTGTGTTACTTGTAAGCCTTCCACTCTAGTGAATCTCATCTGTTTGGCTCTCCTCCTAATAATACCAATCAGCACCCCACAAACATGCTCATACTGTATTAGAATATAACAATTTTGTAAATGTGGAAAAGAGACACATTTTTTGAAGTCAATGACTGCAGCTAGCAAAAGCCACCTCATGCACTGCAGACCACTTGTGCAAGTCAAGGCCTTTTCGTCAGAGAACACCTTTATTTCATGAACTGATATTAAGCTTAATTTTTTTTTCCACCTTGCACGTCCTCGGTCATCGGTATTTTTCATGTGACAAAGCAAATGCTAATTCTCTATGGGCTGTAAGGGAAAACAGCTGCTAGTTATAATGGGGGTTTTGAGAGCACTTGGTCAAACAAACTCCATAGGTTTAAGTACCTCCAGACTGTATTACATCTGTCAAAGCAGCAGCAAATACAACATAAAATGTAGAGTAGGTCCCATTTTTAGTGTGTCAGTAGAATCAGCCTGCAGTTATTTTTAACTGCCTTGGAAAGCTTAGCAGGCAGATACAGTTAATCCTTTAAAGGATTTGCAGGTATTCATAGCTTAATAAGTAAGCATAGTGGATTAAACCAATAGAAGATTGTAGACAGTCAAAGACAACCTTTACATGCTAACATTCAAAAAATAAAAAGAACAGTTTCTTTTTGTATACTTTTTTCCTTGACAATTGCTCTCAATTGTCAGTATGGGCCAGAATCCCATACAGTGATGAAATAAAAACGTTAATTAGAGTCATTAAAGTCAACATGTGTGATATTTAAATCATCAGAAAGCAGTGAATTTCTGTTGTCTTCTTTTCCCATTATCCTATAAACACTTTGAAAAGCAGAACTGCACCATGAAAATTAATTAAAAATACATCTACTTATGCAATAAATAAATAATAAAACTAAAATGGTAAGATTCATTTTAGGAAGAAAAAAAGCTGAGTGATTCTTACAGGTCAGAATCTATATTGGTTGTATTCTTTCTCAGGATTCACTGACATAGGCTCGACTGAGAGATGAGGGCCCTTCAATATATTCATAAACAATGTGGAAAAGTACACCCATAGTAAGACAAAAAAAAAAAAATCAGATGACACAAAACTATTAGGCTGAGAAAATCTAGGGCTGGCTATGAAAAGCTTTAGAGTTTGGTTCAATACTGAATGGGTGATAAAATGCCAGAGGCTATTCCGTGCCATTAAGTGCAATGCACATCAAGAGAGGAAGAGAAAGTACACATATGTATATCCATAAGGTGCTAGTATCACCAGGAAAGAAATCTGAAAACATCTGGTGCTTAAAGAAGCAAACAAACTTAGGAATTATTTAAAAATAAATAGAGAAAAACATGACAAATCTGCCCTGTAAACACTCAAGCCACAGGCACATTATGAATACTCTATGCAGTTTTAGTCATTCCATTATCAAAAAGGTTATTATGGTAGAATTAGAAAAATATGTAAAGAAGAATATGACAGCAATGTGTTAAGTCGTGGATATTAGTAAAAAGGTAAGCTGGGAATTGTTATTCACTAGTTTTCATAATATAAATACTGGAAGGCATGCATTTTTTTGGTAGTAATAAATTAAACTAATTTTCATTAGATATTGTGAGGCAGAAACTGTACATGGATCAAAAAAAATCATGACTTCATTGATTCAGCAGTTCTATTCAGTAGGTCAGCAGTAACTATTAAACAAAAGAGTCTCCTAGCCACTGAAGGCTAGAAGAGCATGATGGAAAAATCACTGTAAGCATGACTGCTTCCAGACATGTTTTTCTATAAGTATCTAGTTACTAGGTTAGGGAGACTTGTCATCTGGCTGAATTCAGCAGTTCTTAAAACCTAATGACCAAAATGACTGAAATCACGATGTATATTGTTTGGTGTATTTTTACAAGAAATCTGACCAGGACCTCCCTGGTTCTATCATTGCTATTTGAAAAGAACCAAGATGAAACAAAATTGTTTCATTAAATGTACAACTGAAGAAGCCTAATTCCCTACACATTTTTAAGGTTATATACTCTGGCTACCAGACAAATCACTCCTTTCACACCTCAACTGTGTTAACTGAAATATATATATATATATATATATATATACACACACACACTAGTTGAAAATAGTTGAAATATTTGCAGATAATAAATATATGAAAGATAAAAGAGGAATACAACTCCACAAGGTTATAATTAGGACCCTGCTCTTCCCAGATGATTCAATAGTGGAATATATTGTTGACTGTGCCACTTGAACAGAATTGTGAGACATCGGAACACAGGACTAGAAGGGAACTCCTGAATCACTGCAAATAATCAACTCTTACACTTGCAGTCATATCACTCAATCCCTTTCAGAAGCTGACCAAAGCCCCTTTCATAACTCAATCAGATGGCAGTCTCAAGGTGTCTCTGCCCTGACTGAAAATTCATTTTGATTTTTAGACTTCATGTATTCCTAGTCAGTCAATGACTTACGCTCTTTCCTAACACAGTCCCTTAATTTAAACAGAGCTTTACCTCTTTGGTGGTACATTCAGAGAAAGGAATCGTATCATCTGTTAATATTCATTTTGCTTGGCTCATCAAGTCAAGCTCTGTTACAGCACAGCTCTCTTACAACATGGTATGCAATGTGAAGAGGTCCAAGCTGACTGGGACACCAGGCCAGTCAGTGCAGACACTGTGGACATTCCATACCCACATGCCCCTTGTTCTAAGAGCGGTACAGATATGTTAGCACATTCCTTTCAAACCAATGTGCCCTGTCACCAAGACAGCCAGTCTTCTTCAACATGTATTCAAAGCCAAACTAACGTGGCTGTATTAATTGACTTCTGGAAATAGTCTAGTGGTGGTTAGATCAATTATTTCTATACCATACTTCACTGTGTAATGTAATTATGCTCCCAGACTCACACTGTACACTTCTAATCCCATGGATCACCATGCTCTTTCTCCTCACTGATTTTGTACTGATTTGCCTTTCTGGAATACAGAATTTCCATGGAACAGACTCCAATTTTTTCATACTTCTCAAAGTCTATGATAATCTTTGGCATGCACCGATGGCTTTGCTGGAATGCTGAGCCCTATGAGTCACTACAATGATTCTGAAGCTTAGTGACAACTCTATTATGAGAATGACATTACTTCTTATCATTTTGGAAGAAACCTCTCCCTAATATAGTAGTGGCAGATAACCAGTATCACTATCACTGACTTCCTAAGAGATGCCCGAGAAAGGAAGAAATGACGTCAAAACAGTAGGAAATTAAGATTGACAGAACCCTTGACCGTGGTTCTGCACTTTTTAAGAGCAGTCTATCTTAATTTCTCACACATTCCAATCTTTCCCCTGTACAAGCCAATTTGCTTAGTTAACCTGGACATCTTTCATTCCTCGTGGTTTCTCTGGCTCTGTTCCACACTGCAGATTTGTTGCTGCAAGTCACTCCTACTAACAGACACTGCGTAGAGAACACAGTTTCAGGAAGTCTACCACTTATCTGTCTGAATGCTTCACTGTCATATCAGCACTTTTTATGAATTCAGGAAGGGCAGGGACTAGGAGTGGGAATGAGAGCGATTGCTTAGGCAATGGATTCTATCCTGACACAAGCATGAAGGGAAGACCAGCACAAAGAGCAACAGAAGTCTTAGAGAAGGATTTGAAGGCACAAAAGGGCTCCAAAACGCAGGGATACAGTAAGAAAAGTTTTATCACAAAGTAAATGAAATATAGTATCACATAATCATTTAGGTTGAAAAAGACCTCTAAGATCCCTGAGTCCAACCATTAACCTAACACTGACAGGTCCACCACTAAACCATGTCCCTAAGCACCACAACATGTGAAGCTGCAGGACCCTAATGGCCTAAAGCAACTTGGTGGATGGGAGTATGAGGGGCATTCATGTTTTATAGATTAATTAGAAAGGGGCTGTGAAAAACAAAGTGGCTTAAGAGAAAGGACATACTGAAAAACATTCAAAATGGAGATTTTATATTTTTAAATGTGTGGCCTTCTGCACAACTTTAAATTTAGTTATTGAATATCGCCACATAACAGTAATAGCTGTGTACACATATTTAATCTTATAAAAGCAAGTAAAATATTACTGAAGTTGAATATGAAGACTGTATGTATTTACCCCAATACGAAACCACAAAATGTTCGAAGTAATTTATACCTTAACATATATTTTGGAAATATATAACACATATCTGAAATCAGACGATGTAATTAGAAAGATCTGTATTTGCTTAGCAGAGGAAGCAGGACAGTGGTACTTCCTCATTCCCTTTCTGCCATCATAATGTCCTATTGCCACTGTACCTGACTCCTGTGTTCCTCACACACTGAAGAAATGAATGAATAAGAGGAAAGCCTGCAGGAAGTCTCTGTGCTGCACTATCCTTTCACGCTTGTTTTGCGTTGCGGCAATACCTCTGGCTTAATAGAGGTTTCACTTGATTTAGTTCAAGTCAACAGAAGAATCAGCCTCACCACCACTGAGCCCACATACCTGTGCAACATGGCCTTAACATTCCTGACTAGCATTCTGAATGCCTGTCCAAAGGCAAAACAAAGCGATCAGAGATTCCAGATGCAATCTGAATGTAATGTGATGTGAGCCAGACAAATCTTCAACTGAAGCGCCACCGTTAATCTCTTTCCAAAACACAGAACATTGCATTAATAAATATCCATACTCACTTCAAAGCCTTCAGAGTATCCAGCTAGGATATTTTCACTTTAGTCCTACAGTAGAGGGTCAGCGAATTTTCACCATAAATCATCATCTTAAAGACAGATGCTGCATTGGCAGTTTGCGAATAATTTGGAAAAAAAAAATTAAACCAAATCCAGCAGCCCCTAACGCAAAACAGGATGTTGGACAACTATATATTTGGTTTTGACAAAAAAAAATTCCGATTGTCTTATAAAGTGTGTCACATTGAATAAACCTAGAATTTTTCTTTCCTTTATTTTCTTTGGTACTTTTTCTCACCTAGGTATCCTTGCTGTGAATCAGTTTCATAGGACGGTACTTCTCTGAATTCAGATTTGATCCTTTTTCTTTACTCTGTCAAGATTCTTACCAAAGTAATGAGAAATTGTTTTTATTATCCACAAGATGCAAGATTTATTCCTTTATTATGAGTAAATAAATATATAAAATAATCAGTTAATCCTCAGCTACATCCATAGACCCGCTCCCATAACACAGAGATTAAGAATTAAACAGAGGCCTTTCCCTTGACTGTAGCATCACTCAGCCAAGGGCAGGGATAAGAACCTGGGAGGATGCCATGAAAGGGACAAGAACAGAGCATCTGTTCTGTGTGGATTTTTCTCTCCTCCCACACACTGAAGGGAGAGATGCATATGAAATGTGTGCAGTGTTTATTTTTAACCAGTTAGGCAAAGGGCCATGATGGCCCTGTCCCATTACTCTGTTTATCTCAAGGACAGCTACAAATGCCTCCTAGTTCTCATGTACTCCAGTCATGACATGATATCCCCATCCCTATTTTTTAACTGTTGCCTTATATGTTAAAAATGTGTCTCAGCGATACATATTCTTGGCACTCTGGGTGCAGTTCTGCTAATTGTTTTTGTGCATCACATCTCTTAACACAACATATGGACAGGTTTTATCAGGACTTAAACAAACGCCAAAAAAACCCAAAACAGGCCTCCTTCCACTCCAAAGAACCTTTTTAATTCTGTTTACTGAATATATAGTTTCTCTAAGGTTGGCTTTCAAGTGAGAACTCTTACTGCCAGTGTTTCCCCTCTCACCTCATTAATAACTTTTTTATTTGTTTTTCTGTTAATCATTCTAAGACACTGTAAGGCTATTCTAGGGCAATTCTCCCTATTGCCAATTTTTGTTTATATTTTGTTTGGGCTGCATGTTTTCTATCAATTCACAGAAAGTAAGAGTACAGGTTGGTCTTACATTCATAACTTGATTATAATAATCAAAGTCATCCATTTATGGAGTTGTGAGGATCAAGATGATTTTAGCATGTAATTTTATTTAAAAGGACATCATCCTTATCAGAGATACTATGTACAATTCACAGAAAGAGTCATATGGGAAAGAGTATCCTCCTCCAACACATGAAACAACACAAGAAACAATATACTACTTAGCTAAAATAGCAATTTCTAACCCAGTAGTTTAAGGAAGTATATATATCTCTGAACTCTGTAGGCTTTCAATGACTAGACTTTGAAAGCAAAAAATGGAGAGACTCACATTGGTTTGTGTAACTAAATAAAAGGAATTGCAAAATT